TTTTGACATGGATAGGGTTGTGATTATTAGGGGATGTCAGAGCAAGCAGAACATATGACTCTAAGGGGGGATGCTATCGGTAACCGCTTCGTCTCCTATATCAGGGTCTGTTTAGGGCTTGGGTTTTTTCATTGTGGGTTGATGTAGGTTTGGTGTTCAAGGTTCTTGGGGGTTTAGGCTGCAAGGCTTGAAGGTTCAGTTTAGGGTTTAGGGTTTAGGGTTTAGGGTTTAGGGCTTAGGGTTTAGGGTTTAGGGTTTAGGGTTTAGGGTTTAGGGTTTAGGGTTTAGGGTTAGTGTTTCGGGCCGTTTAGAGTTTCTGGCATAGGGCATAGGTCTTTGGATCCTGTAGGGGAGGGAGCTAGGGATGAGAGTCTTTATGCCGTTTTGTGATGAGGGCAAGCACGTGAGGCCTTAGAGATCCCTAAGCCCTAAACCCTAAACCCTAAACCCTAAACCCTAAACCCTAAACCCTAAACCCTAAACCCTAAACCCTAAACCCTAAACCCTAAACCCTAAACCCTAAACCCTAGACCCTAGACCCTAAACCCTAAACCCTAAACCCTAAATCCCAAACGACCTTGAAGCCCTCCCTGCTTGCGGCGCAGGTGACCACCTTGCAGAAACAGCCTGAGACCCGGAGGACCCAGGTTCTTATAGGAGTCTGAGGTCCGGGGTGTAGGGGTTTGGGCTGAACCCCGCAACCCAAGCCCTGCGAGTTGTAGGCAGACGCCTCAAAACCAGATGCAGTCATCAGATACCATCATGAGGAAGGGCCCTTGCTTAATGGTTCCTAGTGTTCCTTACCCCATAGTAGATCTTATAGCGGAGGCCCAGAATGCTGAAGGAAGCAGTTTCTTCAACATCCCTTAACGGGCAGGATAGGGGGGATAAGGGTTCCCAATGCCCTCATTCCCATCAAGAAGGACCCGTCAGCCGCCTGAATTGGAACCTAGCTGCTCCTGCCTGGTCGGGAGATGTTTTTTTGTCCAGCGTCTTTTTGTTTAGGAACCCTAAACCCTCAGCCCTAAACCCTACACCCTACTACCCCCCCCCCCCCCACCCCCCCCCCCCCCCACCCCCTCCCCAAGACAACCCTAAACCCTAAACCCCTAAGCCTTTAAACCCTAACTCAACCAAACCCTAAGCACCAAACCTAAACCCACCCCCTCCCCCCCCCCCCCCCCACCCCCCCCCCCCCCCCCACCCCCCCCCCCCCCCCCCAAATAAACACAGGTTTGAGCGGATGAGAAAGATATCGACAAACGCTCTCTCGCGGCGCCCTCAGCGCGCAAGCGTTCCTCGAACTACGTTGGGTGGTCCCGGTTTCGGGTTAGGGGTTAGGGTTTTAGGGTTTAGGGTTTAGGGTCTAGGGTTTAGGGTTTAGGGTGAGGGTGAGGGTTGAGGGTTGAGGGTTTGAGGGTTGAGGGTTGAGGGTTGAGGGTTGAGGGTTCAGCAAGAAGATGCAAGGGCCGAAGCCCTAAACAGTGGATAATTCCCACCCCGTTGCTCTTGTTTCAGGTTTGGGCTTCTCCCTCAGCCCAAACCCTAAGTCTTAAACCCAGGACAGTCCTTCCAACAAAAAGGGCGTAAATCGGATCCATATGACCTGCAAGGGTTGAGGGTGAAAGGGGCTTAGGGGTTTAGTGAGGTTTCGCTTGGAAGCAGCCCCTCACTGTGCCAAGACAAAGACAGCGTCGCCGAGACCCTGCCGCCCCTGGAGTCCACCAAGAAGGCTACGGGGTGGCTTCGCTTCGGGTTTCCGTGGCTCATTGCTCAAGGTACCTTTAAACCCCAGACCCTAAACTACCCCATAAAACCTCAGCAACTCTGAGCTGTTAATCCGAAGGCCTTTGTGACCGTAAAGCTCTGGAAACCCTGCAGAACCAACGGCTCGTCGCTTGAAGTGACCTTCATTCCCTGAGGTTGGGGTTTAGGGTTCAGGGTTAGGGTTGAGCAGCCTTTCCAGCCTTCAACCCTGCATCCTAAGGGTCGAGCCCCTCAAATCCCTGAACCGCATCACAAGGTCTCTACTACAAGTCCGCCCCCTCCCCCCCCCCCCCCCTCTCAAAAGCGGTGTCCCTTCAACTGCTCACTGCCCGCAAGTAGCTTCCGGTCATTCCTTGGGGACCAACCTAAAATTGGCGGTCCTCTTTCTACCCCTTAACTTAGAGGGTTTAGGGTTTAGGGTTTAGGGTTTAGGGTTTAGGGTTTAGGGTGTAGGTGTTGCTACAGGTGGAGGAGGGGGGGTAAAGTGCTCCGCAGGACTTGGAGAAGAGCACGAAGCTTCAGGAGGAGGCGCGGACGGTATTGTCGGCCTAAACCCACCCTCAACCCTAAACCCTAAACGCTGCGAGGTTTTTTTTGGTTTCCGTGCGCCCTGAACAAAATTCTGAATAAGCACCAAGCCCTTGCCCTAAACCCTGAACCCTAGACCCTCAACCCCCAAACCCCCCAAACCCCCCAAACCCCCCAAACCCCCCAAACCCCCCAAACCCCCCAAACCCCCCAAACCCCCCAAACCCGCCAAACCCCCCAAACCCCCCAAACCCCCCAAAACCCCCAAACCCCAAAAACCCCAAACCCCAAACCCCAAACCCTAAACCCCAAACCCTACATGCACAAATCTTTCAAGAGCCACGAGGACATCCGCCGACAGCGACGGCTCCTCGAGGACATCCAAGCCGAGGCCCGGAAGATGCAGGCTTAGTAGGCATGTAGGGTTTGGGGTTTAGGGTTCAGGGTTTAGGGTTCAGGGTCAGGGTTCAGGGTTCAGGGTTTAGGGTTTAGGGTTTAGGGTTTAGGGTTTAGGGTTTAGGGTTTAGGGTTTAGGGTTTAGGGTTTAGGGTAGCACAGACGCAAGCGGCCAGTACGGTCATTTTATTGTTTACTGAAACCCTGAACGCTACATCCTAACCCTAAGCCCGGAACCTGCTTAGGTTTCTTGGGTTTGGGGTGTCGGGTCTGGGGTTCATGGTTTGGGGCTGTTCGGAGAGCACTCGCATTGCAGTTGTTCTTTGCCTCGGGTTTTACTTTGTCTGTTTGGGGTTTAGGGTTTAGAATGAGGGTTTAGCGATCAGGGTTTAGGGTTTGGCCTTTTTGGGGATCTTTTCTGAATTTGTCATCTCACAGGGTCTGACACGTGCTCCAGTCGCTGCTCCTTGGGCAGAGTGTCCAGTTGATGCTCATGGCTTCAGGCAAGCAACTTAGATTGTCTAATTAGTAGCTGAGTAGATAACCTTAAACCTGTTTTGGGGGCATATATAATCCTACCAGAATTGAAAGGTTAGCCTTTATTGGGCCAGGATACTCATCAAGTTGGCCTGGAACCGAACCTCGCCCTAACCCTAAAGTGAGGGTCCTGTGTTCGCCTCCAGGTTGACCTGTTCATCGGTGCCTTCCTCAAGCAAGAGTCCTTGGAGAAGGACCTGCGGTTTAGGGAAACCCTAAACCCTAAACCCTATAAACCCTGAACCCTGAACCCTAAACCCTAAACCCTAAACCCTAAACCCTAAACCCTACACCCTACACCCTACACCCTACACCCTACACCCTAAACCCTAAACCCTAAACCCTAAACCCTAAACCCTAAACCCTATTTGGACTTTGGACTCCCGAGTGTCATGCCACAGCCTCCTTTGGAATCACGTGGATTCTGTGGACGTAAACGGAAACCCCAACTAGGACCCGGAGTTTAGGGTTTAGGGCTTGGGGTTTAGGGTTTAGGGTTTAGGGTTGAGGGTTTAGGTTTTAGGGATTTCATTTGGGTGGGGTTCCCTTATTCTCCCCTTAAGGGCACCCTTTTATTCCTAGCTTGCTCCTGGGTCTAGCCAAAGGTAGCCAACATGTTTTGTGTTATGGTTTGGAGGGGAGTGCTTCGGAGAGGTCGACTTCAAAGACTACCATCGCGTTACGGCGGTACTCTATATATATATATATATATATATACATAGAGTTGTTTATGTATATATGTTTATGTATATATGGGTGTCTGTGGCATGCGTCGTCGCCCCGCGAATCTCTTTAGCTTCTGAAGGGGTCTGGGTCCAGGGCTTAAGCTCCAGCAGAAACCCCAAACCCTAAACCCTAAACCCTAAACCCTAAACCCTAAACCCTAAACCCTAAAGCAGGTTTGGGCGGGGGGGGGGGGGGGGGTAAATCCCATGGGACCCTAGAGTGCCAAACGTCTGAACCCGCCGACAGCCCGCTCCCTGAACACCTACACCGCCCACACCCGAAACTTGGGACGTTCCCCCTTATACTCGCAGATACTCACAGCAACAGGGATTCTAGTAGGGGGTACTATAGTTTCGATTAAGGACTGCTAGTATAAAGGGGGAACATCTCAACCCCAAGCCCTAAAGACCTCAACCTCTGGGTTCCTGGACCCAAAGTAGGCCCTTATTCTCGTTTTTGGGGGTTCAGTTTCCCTTATAATCCCCATTAAACCAGAAAGGGCGCCCTTTTTATTCCTAGGTTACTCTTGGGTCTAGGTTTAGGATGTAGGCTTCAGGGCTTAGGGTATCACCTAAGCCCTATACCCAAGCCCCGCTAAGCCCCTAAACCCTTGAACCCCTGAACCATTCCACTTGCCCAGGACAAGAAGGAGGAGTTCGATGCTATCTGCAACCAGACGCTCGGTTGCCATACCCACGTCACCGGGTTTGGGTTTCAGGGTGGGATGACGTTTACTGTATTGCAGCGTTCCGGTTCTGCTGTTTTCCGAAAGACTAGGCTGCTCGACTAGTCTTTCTGCAATAAACCGTACGATGCCCCGAGGTTGGGAAAGCTTTGGCGACATCTGCACTGCGTCGAAAGAATGACCGTGAAGCACGACAACGTTGATCCTTCACCCATCAACCCACGAAGTCTTGAGTTCACCTGCCCCCCCCCCCCCCCCCCCCCCCGAACTAACTCAACCTACATTACCTGGATTATCCCCCCTCCCCCGACTCCTAAACCCGAAGCCCTAAGCCCCAAACCCAATACCCCCAGCCGCAAGGATGGAGGAGATGCAGAAAGAGCTCAAGGATCTGAAGACCGAGGTCGGGAGAATGCTACTGGTTTCTATGTTGGGTTTAGTTTCTTTACTTTCTTTTGGATTCGGGTTTTAGGGAACCCTGAACCCTAAACCTTAAACCCTAAACTCTAAACCCTAAACCCTAAAGCAGCCTAAGCCCTTCAAGACGCCAGGAGCAACACTGGTCCGCGCACTTCAAAACGCCAGGGCCTGGGTTTAAAGGGTTTAGGGTTTAGGGTTTAGGGCTTATAGATATTCGGGGCTCGCAAAGCCCTTGAGGGTTTAGGCCTGCGGGTTTGAACAACGTCTCCAAACTTGGTCAATCTTCTCCGAAATCCCCGAACTCTTCTTGGTCTAGGGTTTTAGGGTTTAGGGTTTATCGTTTTAGGGTGTGCAGTAAACTCCACAAACAGTTGGAACATGGCTTAAGGATGATTAGGGCTGGGATTCCCTTTCGTACACCTTGTGGGGTATGGGGATAAGGATGTTCCAGCTTTTTGGAGTTTTCTGTAGGGTTTTAGGGTTTAGGGTGGGTTTCAGGGTTTAGGGTTTAAGGTTTCAGGGTTTAGGGTTTAGGGTTGTGAATATCTTCGGGGGTCGTAAGCCGCAGAACACAGCAACACCATCCCAACCTCTTGGGATGGCCACAGGGCATAGGGTTTAGGGTCTTGGGTCTTGGGTTTAGGCTTTAGAGTTAGGGTATAGGGTACCCCTAAACCCTAAACCCTAAACCCTAAACCCTGCCACACTGTTCTTTTGCCGGAAAGCCCGAAAGGGATCGGTGCGCACTAACTGCAAAAGCTGTCTTTCTGCGGCCGCCTGAGCCCTTTTATCTCTGGGTGTTTAGGTTTTCTTCAAGTCTTTGGGTTTCCTAGACTTTGCGCAAGCATACGTAACGACAACCGCGTGGACTGTCTATACCTGAGATCGCGCTTTTGGAGAAACCCGATCCTGATAAATAGCAGTTTGGAGTGCTGTCTCGACGCTGGAAGTACTGAAGATAACGAGAAAAACGCATTTTCTAAGCCTGCTCACACATCGTCCGCGGCAACATGTCCTGGCGGAGTGGGGCTTAGGGTTTTAGGGTTTAGTGTTTAGGGTTAAGGGTATCTTGGCAGCCCAGTTCTACCATTTTGCCCCGGTTTTCGTCCTGGGTTCCCGTATAAACTATGGTCACTGGGCTCCAAAGCAACTACTTAGGGCTTGGGGGACTGGCATGTAGCTGTCGAACTTTTACAGTTCAGGAACGTTCAGAAACCCTAGGCAAGTGTAAGTCTATCCTGGCTTTGAGGGTTAATTAGGGTTTAGGGTTTACAGGGTTTAGGGTTGAAGGTTGAGGGTTTAGGGTTTAGGGTTTAGGGTTGAAGGTTGAGGGTTTAGGGTTGAAGGTTGAGGGTTTAGGGTCTAGGGTTTAGGGTTGAAGACAACTTGTCGGATCCGCTGGCGCGCACGCCGCGAATGCTTTGACGTTAATGTGCCGCCACATGAATGCAGAGACTCTCACCGAGGCCCTAAACCTTGAACCCTAAACCCTGAACCCTAAGCCCTAAACCCTAAACCCTAAAAGCTAAACCCTAAACCCTAAACCCTAAACCCTAAACCCTAAACCCTAAACCCTAAACCCTAAACCCTAAACCCTAAACGCCCACTCGAGTTCTCGCCAAGGCTGGCCTCTCACCGTGAAAAGCTGGCGCGCGACGCCTCGCAGGCCTGAAGACTCAAAACCCCCACAGCCCGGCCCTGATCTTCTTTTTGGGGGCAAGTTTAGGGTTTAGGGTTTAAGGTTTAAGTTTTAGAGTTTTGGGTTTAGGGTTTAGGGTTTACGGTTTACGTAGGGTTTAGGGATGAGAGAACGGGTTAGGGTGTAAGCTCAAGACCGTGCAAGGGTTAAGGGTTCAGGGTTCAGGGTTCGGATCATCAACCACAGCCGATGAATCTTTAGGGAAAGCTGGCTTCCCTATTTTCGTGGCTTTCTGTCAGATCCTGAGCTGTAGCTCCGATTAGGCGTGGTGAGGTTGGGGGAAGTCTGTGGAAGGGTATGGGTTGCAGCGATGAGGACACTAGACCCGAAACCCTGTGTGATTCAGGTGTTTGTCTTGCTTCTGCAAATTTTGAGCATAGTCCCGATTGCAGCAAGTTGGTACATTCCCCCCGCCCTAAATCCTAAACCCTAAACCCTAAACCGTCAACCCTAAACCCTAAACCCTAAACCCTAAACCCTAAACCCTAAACCCTAAACCCTAAACCCTAAACCCCAAACCCTACACCTTCAAAAGCAGGGCTTGAGTCTGGGACAGGCGCACCGCTTGTGCCGAGAGACGGCGGACGAGGCGCCTGGCTGGCTTCTCTGCTTTGTGTGCGGGTGTTTGCTCACTTAGGGTTTAGGGTTTAGGGTTTAGGGCTTAGGGCTTAGGGTTTAGGGCCACTTCTCGAAAGTAGGGTCCCTTTTGGGGTCATTGTTATGAGGCGGGCCCCGCTTTCAGGGTACCCAAAAGAGTAAGCAGCCTTTAACCTCTTGGGGTATATATAATCCTACCGTACTTGCAAGGTCAACCTGTTTCGGACCAGGCTACTCAGCAACCAGGCGATCGTGTGCCGTTGTGTCGTACTCTATTTCATGAATATGTTTAGGGCAAATACAACTACATCTAGACTTCGATCAGATCTTCTGTAATCCCAGCAGCTGCAATTTTTGGGGGTTCAAGCCCTGACTGGACATATGGACTTCTTTGAGCCATCGTGCCTATTCGGCGAAAGCCTGCTGCAAGCTGTCCTTCGATGCCTCTCGGGGCCACGCGGCTTATGGCTGCGGCGCGACGGACGAGGTGAGTTGCATCTGTCGTGCCCAGCGCTCTCGAGCTTGGTGGCGTGTTCACGGCATGCCCATCAATTCTTTACACAGTCTTCTGTAGCGTGGTTGTTGGAGAGAGTTGGAGCCAGTTTTGACATTGGTGACGAGAAGTTCTGCTTGATCCATGGTAGCCCAGTGGTACCCTGTTCGAGGTTCCCTTGTACAGTAACGAACCCAAAACAGGGACACCCTTATCATATCTAAACCTTAAACCCTAAACCTTAAACCCTAAACCCGAGGCCCTTCTTACTTATGTTTTTAATATGGTTACTGGGCTTCCGAGGATCTCATCTGCTGACCAATGTGATGCAGCTGAGCTGATAGGGCGAATCGCGGGAAGAGGCATCGATTGGTTGGTTGATGGTCTCTTGGCCCGAATGGACGCGTCATCGGGCGCCCCATCGACGTCGAGACCGACCATGATCTCCAAGATTTTTTCAGACTTGGAGGTTCAGGGTACTTGTTGCCCCAAGTATAGCTGCACTTATGAGCCCCCGAAGTCCTTTAAGTAGGTCATAAGTAGATTTAGAATTGGGGGTTATCGGTACCCGTGAGCCTCCAAGCAGGTGAAGATGTCTGTGCTCATGGCCTTGGCGCGGCTTGCTACCCGCGGGGACCATCGCGTCGTCGACCACTTTCTGCGCTTTCTTTCCTCCACGCATGCCGACAGCGAAAGCTTCGTTGATCTGCGTAATCATAACCATAATTGTAGAAGGCTTCTCAACGCTTTGCCCGACATTGCGGCCCCCAACGACGATGAGGTTGCCCGCCAGCTTTTCCCGCTTGTCACGCTGCCGGACGTGCGGGCAGAAGCCTTAGACTCCATCCTGAAGATCGCTGGATCGAGCCCCGAGGTGCTCGGGCGGCTTTGCCAGATGACGCAAAGTCCGGACAAGGATTTGGTCCACAAGGTCCTTTTTGCTCTTCGGACGAGAGCCAAGGGCGCTGTCTGTGCACGGGAGGCAGTTCTGGCTGCCATGGAAGATCCAGACACAAACGTGCGCATGACTGCTGTGAGAGTCCTTCCCGATGTCGTTGACAGCGCCACTGAAAAGGAAGTGGCCGCAGCTTGCCGACTTCTCACTGATGCCAACCATGGCAATTATGGCTCAGTTTCTTGCGCAGCGGGACATGCTTTGCTGAAACTTGCTGCTCCAGGGAACCCCGTGGTGATGGAGGCGTTGGTGCCTTGTCTTACTTCAAGTTCACCTGATGTAGTCCGCACCGCCCTCAACGTTGTTTCCAAGCTTGGAGTGCAAAATCAACGACTGTGCCGGGCGGTGGCGCTTCGGTTGCAGTCACCGGGATCTGATGAGCTTGAGCCTGACGGACCTGACGTCAACACAGGTTTCCAATACCCGCCGAAAGCAGTGTCATTGGAGGCCATCGGCAGTGTCTCCGAACGAGGGGATGCCGAAATATTGGAGCTGATTCGGCCCTTCTTGAATGATCAGGATGTGAATATACGTTCGGCCGCTATTGAGGCATTGGGGCAAGTGTGCAGTTTTGAGGACACGGAAGCATTATCACAAATACGCGAGTTTGTCAAGGATAGCAGCGAGACAGTGTCTGCAGCTGCAATCATGGGTCTTGGCTACGCCACCCCTCAAGCTGACTTGGCGGAAGTGTTGAAGCCATACCTTTTCGCGGAAGACAGCTCCACTAGGTTTTATGCCACGAACGCCGTTGCTTATCTCACAGCTTCAGGAGACGTTGCCTCATGCAACGTGCTGCACGCCAAGCTCGAAGATTCTTATTGGCTTGTTCGGCGGACGGCCCTCCAGGGATTGTTCAAGGGGTTTAGGGTTTAGGGTTTAGGGTTTAGGGTTTAGGGTTTAGGGTTTAGGGTTTAGGGTTTGAGGATCCAGGTTGCCGGCAAGCAATCTCAAAGCTGACGGCGGATCCGCACGCGCAAGTGCGCCAGCTTGCCGAAGCCCTGCTTGAGCGGCTGTGAAGATTCTTGTTCAAGGGGTTTAGGGTTTAGGGTTTAGGGTTTAGGGTTTAGGGTTTAGGGTTTAGGGTTTAGGGTTTAGGGTTTGAGGATCCAGGTTGCCGGCAAGCAATCTCAAAGCTGACGGCGGATCCGCACGCGCAAGTGCGCCAGCTTGCCGAAGCCCTGCTTGAGCGGCTGTGAAGATTCTTGTTCAAGGGGTTTAGGGTTTAGGGTTTAGGGTTTAGGGTTTAGGGTTTAGGGTTTAGGGTTTAGGGTTTAGGGTTTAGGGTTTAGGGTTTAGGGTTTAGGGTTAGGAGGTTCCTGCGCGGTAGGTACCTCGAAAACCTTATAGGGAACCTCAGGGAATCTTAGGGAAGGGAATCTTGGGTTACATTCCCCCATTGAACTGCCCTCCAAGAACCCTATAAGAAAAGGGAGGGGCATGGCACTGGATAGCTCACCCAAGAATGTGGGTGAGATACCCAACCCACATCCTTGGCTTTAGGAGGGCATGATTGAGTTCGTGATCTTTCGCACGTTCGCCCCCTAAACCCTAAACCCTACACCCCGAAATTCTTGGATCCTTTGCCCGGGCAAAAGAGCGGTGGCACAGTGCCCCCGTGCCCAGTGTAGGTCAATCCCGAGAGACTGAAGATCCCAAACCCCTAAATTCTAAACCCTAAAGGCCCTAGACGCCTTCTTAGGAGCTGAGTAGGCAACCTTTTACCTTTCGGGGTATAGATAATCCTACCATAATTGAAAGGTCAACTCCTAAACCCTAAACCCTAAACCCTAAACCCTAAACCCGGTTTACTGCAAGCATCACAAGCCCCATGCTTTTGCGCCGGAAGATCGCGTGAGGTGGCCATGAAGGAGCTCGAGGAGCAAGACCTGAAGAAGAAACACCAGGCATTTTGCAGGGTTTAGGGTTTAGGGTTTAGGGTGTAAAGTTCAGGTTGGGTGGGAGCTAGACTTGGGCTTGTTCTTTTTTCCTGAAGGCAAGCTGTCGGTATGCTGGTCTGCTAAGTGGTTACGTTTGCAAACAAGCCCAAACCCTAAACCCGAAACCCGAACGCCCTACAGGAGATCAGCCAGAAGCAGAAGGAGTTCTGCACCATGTACGAGGCCTTGCACCCAGAGCGTTGCCCTTGAAGAGACTAAGCCCTAAATCCTATAAACGCTAAACCCTAAGCCCTAAACCCTAAACCCTAAACCCTAGACCGTAGACCCTAGACCCTAGACCCTAGCTTGAATTAATCAGTTGCACAGAGCTCAGGAGTCAAAAAGGGTTCTTGTGGTTCAGGGGTTCGGGTTTAGGGTTCCGGGCCCAGACCACTCTCGTTGGTGCAGGTGGTGAAGAACGAGCGCAACAAGTACATGCCGTGGGCTGAGACATGAGCTGTTGGCTGTTAGGGGGACCTCTAAAACCCCGAAGCCCTAGGACCCCTAAACTCCTAAAGCCCTAAAACCCTTGAACCCTTAGCCCTAGAACCTTAGCCCGAGCCCCTCAGGCGTGTGCGGGTAGCCAGCAGATCCTAAACCCTAAACCCTCTTGGGCCATGCGAGTGTCAAGTTTTAGGCGGCCATAAGAGTTTGGGTCCGGGCCGAGCACCCAGCAAGCAGGCCAACAAAAGGCCAGGACCCTAAACCCTAAACCCTAAACTCTAAACCCTAAACCCTAAACCCTAAACCCTGCGCACCGTTCAGGGCTTCGGGTTTGTGGTCTCCATCAAGCGGCGTTTGGGGTTGAGCTTCTTCATCTGTGCATTCGTTCAAGAAGCCCCTTTGAAGCACCTTTTCTGTAGAGGCTCCGACTTCCTTAAGCCCCGTTGAAAAGGGTTTAGGGTTTAGGGTTTAGGGCTCAAGAACGACGGCTCTTTATGGCACAGAGCTTCAATACCCGGACTTTCAGCAGCTTCGTGAAGTGCCACCGACGCGCAATTCGAACCCTTAGACCACGGACCCCAAAGCCGAAACCGAACCCCCAAGCCATCAGCCCCAAGCCCTAAGCCCTAAACCCCAAACCCCAAAACCCCAAACCCTAAACCCTAACACCCCAAGCCCCAAGTCCTGAACCCTAAGCACCCGAGGACACACATCCAGAAGTCGGATCAGCACCTCTCGGAGATGAAGGATTCGAGGGTTTCGGGGTTTAGGGTTTAGGGTTTAGGGTTTAGGGTTTGGTAGGGTTTAAGGTTTAGGGTTATGAGGTTTAGGGGTTTAGGGCTTGGGGCTTGGTTTGTGCTGCAGGGCTTCAGGTGTTTAAGGGTGTAGGGGCTTTGGGCTTTAGGACCCTTGAGCTTGAGGGGTTGAGGTGTTTAGGATGTAGGGTTTCAGAGGTTTGGGGCTTGAGGTGTTGAGCGTTATCATCGACCGTCTCTGCTGGCTAGCAAGAGACTGCCCGTACAAGAACTACCACCTATCGAGATTTGTGCGACACAAGCCTACTCTGAGATGACCCGGTCAGCGAGGAGGAAAAGATACGCTGCATTGCAGCGCTGGAGGCTCCCAGACTCCAGGGTACACGGACACCTGAGAAGCGCACACCCGTACAGGAGCCACCACGGCTCGTGGGGACCACACAAGCAACATCATCTCGACTTGCTTCTGGGGTCCAGAGCTGAGTTAGTTTCAGTAGGTCCAGGTCGTGTGGGTTTAGGGTTTGGGTTCAGGGTTTAGGGTCTAGGAGGTGTAGGGGTTTAGGGGTTTAGGAGGGTTGGAGGGCCCCCCGCTCACGTGCAAAGACCCTGCAAACGTGTATAGACCCTGCAAAGTCGCTCCTTCGCTTGAGGCTGTTTCTGAGGGCTTGGACGAAAACCCTAAACCCTAAACCCTAAACCCTGAACCCTAAACCCTAAACCCTAAATCCTAAGCCCTAAGCCCAATAAACCCCAAACCCTAAACCCTAGTTCCGTCAGTGGCCTAAGAAGCTTCAGTTGCTTAGCTATGCAGATTGCTCGTAGACGGCCCTTCGCAGTAGATTTGCGCCGTTGATGTGTAGGGGTCCTTACGGGAGGGGGAGGTTCAAGGGGGGTGGGGGGCTTCGGGTTTAGGGCTTACGGTTGATGGTATGTAACCCAATGCTCCCCACTACTCTCGAAGAGGCTCCCACAACTCCCTAGGTGCCTACCCCCCCCCCCCCTCCCTTTAAGGACCCTATACTAGGTGGCGTTTCGGATCAGTTTGGGTTTCGTGAAAGCCTAAACCCTAAACTTAAACCCTAAGCATTTACGCCTAAACCCTAAACCCGAAACCCGAAACCCGAAACCCGAAACCCTAAACCCTAAACCCTAAGCCATCCCGATCCAGGAGAAGTTCAAGATCTTGTCCAACGAGGTCGAAATTCTCCGCATGGAGAGCGCCTACAAGGACACTTGTGCTGAGCTCAGGGTTTCGTTTAGGGTTTAGGGTTTAGGGTTTAGGGCTTAGGGCTTAGGGCTTAGGGCTTAGGGTTTAGGGTTTAGGGCTTAGGGCTTAGGGCTTACAGGGGTTTAGGAATTAATTTTAATGCTACGCGACCTGCCTCGACCTGGCCCAATGCAGCTCCCAGAGAGGGGTCCGACGTTGGGGGGGGAGGTGGTGGGGGGGGGGGGGGGCTGCAACACCTCTCGCCTACAAAAACACCCCAAGAAAAGGCCAGATAATGAGCGGTGAGGAAACCACCTTGACCCATACCAACAACGCCACGCCCCGCAGAAGACGCAGAAGGGGGCGGGGTGGGTTGGGGGTGGGGGGGGGTTTTTGTAGCCGATTCAAAAAGCGGGAGCCCAGCTGCCCCCTGGTCCCGGCAAACCGTCCGCTTTCAGATCCCGATCGCGTACGGGGGGTACGCACTTTACGTAAAAAACAGGGGGGCCGGCATGTGGCTTTGGGCTTGGGGAGAGGGGGTGCCTCTTCTCACAACCTAGACACCTTCGGCCCGAGGCCTCGGCGGGTTAGGGAGTAACTTGGTAGCCCAGTGGTTTCCTTTGCCCCTTTTGGTTGGTTCAAGGTTCCTTTTTCAAGTCACAAACTCAAAAGCGGGTACCCTTCTTACGATATGATTACTGGGCTACCAAGCTGAGGTTTTGAGGTTTCACTGGTTTAGGGTTTGGGGGTACTTCGCGCTCCCGAGGGTTTCGTTCCCTTGTGAAGTAACCAGCGCAAAATTGGTACCCTTATTAGAACATGGTCACTGGGCTGCCAACTAGTAGCGTGGCAAGTCGGCTGTGGCTGCGTTTGTGTGTGGCATGAGGGGCCCCTAAACCGCCTTAGCCCTTGTCCCCAAACCCATTGTTTGTTGGGTCGGCCATGTATCAACATGGACCAGCAAGTAAAGATCAGGTTCTGATGCAGCAAACCTGATGTCAACAAGGGGCAGTCTGCGGAATCCCTGTGTTAAGTCTCTAGCAGTGCAGCAGGCAAACGCTTCTGTGTGGTGACGCTGGGTTAGGTTTAAGGTTGCTGAAGCTTCCCAGGATTTCCTATCCCTAAACCCTAAACCCGAAGGAGCCGCTAAGTAGATCCACGCAGGACAAGCAGCTTGCGCGAATCCGACAAGAGGCTGGTTCTGAGTTTGAAACCCCAACTGGCCCTAACCCTAAACCCTAACCCTAAACCCTAAACCCGAATTCCTAAACGCAACTAGGGTTTAGGGCTTATATATAGGGCTGAAGGAATCCGATTCCCCAAGTTCCCAACACCTCAACCTTCCACAATATCCGAGTCCTATGTGGGCCCCCCTCAGCTCCCTCGCCTCGAAACATGTTTAGGGGTTAGGGTCGAGAGTCTAACCCTAAACCCTTTCATTCAGGGCTACATCCTGAAGTCCTCTAGGCCCGTACCCCTAAAGCCCTAGTTGAGAGCTCTTGTAGGGTCTTAGGGCTTTATAGCCCTGATCCCAATGTAGCCCGAATGCCTAAGAGACCGAAAACTCCATAGCCCTAAACCCTAAACCCTAAACCCTAAACCCTAAACCCTAAACCCTAAACCCTAAACCCTAAACCCTAAACCCTAAACCCTAAACCCTAAACCCTAAACCCTAAACCCTAAACCCTACAAAAAAAACACGCATCAACTTCCCAGAAGGTGAGGCGGGGCTCGGCTTGAAGCTCGACCCTTCAAACCCCAGAAGTCTGTGGAGTGAAGTCTAGGGTTCCAGGGCTTAGGGTTTAGGGTTTAGGGTTTAGGGTTTAGGGTTCAGGGTTTAGGGCTTCGGGCTTCGGGCTTAGGGTCTAGGGTTCCAGGGCTTAGGGCTTCGGGCTTAGGGTTTAGGGTTCCAGGGCTCCAGGGCTTAGGGTTTATAGGGTTCCAGGGCTTAGGGTTTAGGGCTTAGGGTTTAGGGTTTAGGGTTCAGGGTTTAGGGCTTCGGGCTTCGGGCTTAGGGTCTAGGGTTCCAGGGCTTAGGGCTTCGGGCTTAGGGCTCAGGGCTTAGGGTTTAGGGTTTATAGGGTTTAGGGTCTAGGGTTCCAGGGCTTAGGGTTTCGGGCTTAGGGTTCAGGGCTTAGGGTTTAGGGTTCCAGGGCTTCGGGCTTAGGGTCTAGGGTTCCAGGGCTTAGGGCTTAGGGCTTAGGGTTTAGCTTAGGGTTTAGGGTTTAGGGTTCAGGGTTTAGGGTTTAGGGCTTAGGGTTCAGGGTTTAGGGTTTAGGGCTTAGGGGTTTAGAATTTAGGGTTTAGGGCTAAGACTTTAGGGTTTAGGGTTTAGAGCTTATAGGCTTAAAGTTTAGGGCTTAGGTTTGACGGGTTTCAGGTTTAGGGTTCAGGGTCCAGGGTTTGTGGTTTGGAGTTAGGGTTTTGGGGGGTTCTGGGTTCTCGCCGCCCAAGTACCCTTTAGATTGAAAAGATACCGGCAGTGAGGTATTTTTCAGATGAATGGTTGCTTGGGCAGTGCCTTTTTAGGTGGCGGTCTTGATGATTTGGAGTTTGCTCGTTGTACAGCGCTCCGCATTGTTCAGGGTTTCCAAACCTGAACCCCAAGCCCCACATCGCAAGCCCGAGCCCTAAACCCTACACCCTAAACCCTAAACCCTAAACCCCAAACCCTAAATCCTAAACCCCAAGCCCTAAACCCTAAACCCTAAACCCTAAACCCTAAACCCTAAACCCTACTGCGCTTTTCAGGCCCAGCGGCTGGAAGTCATCCACGCCGCGGCCTGAAGTCGCGACTTTCGTTTCGGGGTTTGGGGTTTAGGGTTTGGGGTTTAGGGTTTGGGGTTTAGGGTTTGGCCCTGGGTGCAGAGGTTTTCATTTTCACGTCTTGGGTTTCGGGGCTTAGGCTTCAGGAGGTGCTGGGAATGGGAAGGGTTTAGGCTTTTGGGGTTCATTAGGGGGCTTCACTATCTAGATTTTCCCAGCCAGCTTTAGACGCCCTTCCAGTAACCCTCGACCCTCAACCCTCAGCCCTATAGACTCTGAACTCTGTACCTTTCTCATTTTTATTTAACCTGGGACCCTTTGGGGTTCAGCTTCCCAGAAACCCGAAACCCCAATCCCTCAAGCCTCAAGCTGACACTCCCACAGACTTTGGCACAGCAAGGACCAGCTCCAAAACGAGAAGACCCGCATCACCGGGAAGGGGACGGCCCTCAATGAGCAGGCGCGGAAATAGCCCTAAACCCCAAACCCTAAACCCTAAACCCTAGACCCTAAACCCTAAACCCGTTTCTAGGACAGTTGTGGGTGGGTACCGGCTAGCTTCGCTTCTGAACATGCTTTTTTATATAGAGGCTTGTATGCCCCCTGTACTCATAATAGCCTCCGTATGAAACGCCCACCTGGTTAAGGGTTTGGGATAGTGGTCTTGGGATTCATCCTAGAATGCAGTTGAACCCTAAGTGCCACTCAACCCTAATCCCTAAACTCGACGAGCTTTCATCCTCACCGCCTTGCCGCTGAGTAGGGTTTAGGGTTGGGTTTAGGGTTTAGGGTTTAGGGTTTAGGGTTTAGGGTTTAGGGTTTAGGGTTTAGGGTTTAGGGTTTAGGGTTTAGGGTTTAGGGTTTAGGGTTTAGGGGTTTTCGGGTTTAGGGTTTAGAGTTTTGGGGTCCCAGGGTTTCATAGTAGGGCATCCAAGTCAGCAGGCTTTAAGTTCGAGTTGTGTTCCCGGTGCTTTCGAGCCTACGTAGCCAGCACCTAGCCACCTGATGTAGGGTTTAGGGTTTAGGGTTTAGGGTTTAGGGTTTAGGGTTTAGGGTTTAGATGACAGGTGGAGCAGTTCGTGATCGAGATTGACAAGCTCAACTCCATCATCAGCGCCATTGAGAAGGAAATGGTGGTGCTGGCGAAGTCTTGCCTGGGTGTTGTGAGCCTAAACCCTAAACCCTAAACCCTAAACCCTAAACCCTAAACCCTAAACCCTAAACCCTAAACCCTAAACCCTAAACCCTAAACCCGAAACCCGAAACCCGAAACCCTAAACCCTAAACCCTAAACCCTAAACCCTAAACCTAAACCCTAAAACCCTAAACCCTAAACCCTAAACCCTAAACCCTAAACCCTAAACCCTAAACCCTAAACCCTAAACCCTAAACCCTAAACCCTAAACCCTAAACCCTAAACCCTAAACCCTAAACCCTAAACCCAAACCCTAAACCCTAAACCATAAACCCTGACTTGGGCCCTAAACCTAAATGCTAGACCCTAAACCCTTCACCCTTGACCCCAGAAGGACCCCCTGGTGAACTACAGACATGTTGGTGGGCGTAGGGATTAGAATCTGAATCTTCTGGAAGGGTCGTAGTTGCAAACCCTGATCCGTAAACCCAAAACCCCAAACCCCAAACCCGTATTTGCAACATTCCAGGGATGCAGCAACCCTAAACCCTAAACCCTAAACCCTAAACCCTAAACCCTCTCAATTCGGGCTTGGGGTCTGCCCCCTCCGCTTATATGGGGTTAGGGTGTCAGTTTCAGCCTGCCGGGCCGGTATGGCTTGCCCTAAACCCGAAACCCTAAACCCTAAACCCTAAACCCTAAACCCTAAACCCTAAACCCTAAACCCTAAACCCTAAACCCTAAACCCTAAACCCTAAACCCTAAACCCTAAACCCCTACAGATTCAAAAGCCCCAGCTCTGCCATGGAGAGTAGTCATCACTAACCTTCTCTTGTCAAACCCTTCACCCTGAACCCTGAACCCTAAACCCTAAACCCTAAACCCTAAACCCTAAACCCATGTTCTTTCCAAGCCCTTTGGCCCCTGGGAGCGACTCGGGTCCCGAGAGCCCCCAAAATCTAGGGCTTCGGGTTTAGAGTTTAGGATTTAGGGTGTAGGGCTTAGCGTTTAGAGTCGGTTTAGGGTTTAGGGTTTAGGATTTAGGGTTTAGGGTTTAGGGGTTTAGGGGTTTAGGGGTTTAGGGGTTTAGGGGTTTAGGGGTTTGGGGTTTGGGGTTGGCTGCGCATGCCAGGCAGGGTTTAGCAGCAAGTTCACGTCGTTTGCATGTGCTAGTCGCCTTGGACTGCCAAGTCAGTGCGGCCAATGAATGCCAAGCTTCTAAGGTTTAGGGTTTAGGGTTTAGGGTTTGGGGTTTGGGGTTGTGTCACGTTGGCTTGTCAAAGTCGTCAGATGTTGGGTAGCAGGAGATCAGAAGATTTAGCTTTGTATCAGGCATAAGGGGTTCGGGTTGTCAGGTTTAGGGAAAGAATTCCTTCAAACCCCGAATCCCCTAAACTGCAGCAACGCGGAGCTCGCAAAATAGCACAGGAGGAGCGCATGACGATTTGACATCATCCCATGGACGTCCTGATCTTTCCCGACACTACGCCCTAGATGACCCCAGACCCTCAACCCTAAACCCCAAACCCTACACCCTCATAACCCCCAAAACCCTAAACTCTTATAACCCTAAGCCCTGAACCCTAAACCCTAAACACTAAACCCTAAACCCTAAACCCTTACAACCCCCAGAACCCCGGCAAGACACTCGGCCCCGAGAAGAGCCATGTCTTGCTTTGGCGGCTGCTTCGCCTTCGCGCGCACCATCGACATCGCGCCGGCGCCCACGCTGAGCAACCTGGCTGTCTAGAAGCCCAAGAGGTTAAGTTTTAGGGTTTAGGGTTTAGGGTTTAGGGTTTAGGGTTTAGGGTTTAGGGTTTAGGGTTTAGGGTTTAGGGTTTAGGGTTTAGGGTTTAGGGTTTAGGGTTTAGGGTTTAGGGTTTAGGGAAGCCAGAGAGTCTAGGGTTGAGCTTGGGGTAGGACATTTCCGGTTTTGGGTGGTCGGTCTGCCGTGCATTGGCGCGGGCAGTAAGAAGCAGGCTTCAGAATACTTGACTACTCCATATGAAGCAGGGTTTATATTACAGTTTTTTGTGAGTGTCTATACGGTTCCTTTTTAATTGTAAACGCTTGCGCGCGCCGCCTCGGCAGCCGGGCCGGATTCAGGACAGGAAAGGAGGAAAGAGGGTTTCGCAAAAAAAACGGGGGGTGTGGGGGTGTGGGGGGGGTGTGGGGGGGGGGGGGGTGGGGGGGGGTGGGGGGGGGGGGGTGGGGGGGGGGTGGGGGGGGGTGGGGGGGGTGGGGGGGGGGTGGGTGGGGGCGGTTTTGCCGTCAACAGGGGACCCTCCACGGCATCGGTTTGCAGCGATTGGGGGGGGTCCCACAGGGCGGGGGGGGGGGGGGGGGGGGGGGGGTGGCGTCAGAAAATTTTGCATGGGGGGAAAGGTTTGGGTTAGGGGGAAGCCCGATCCGGGTCTGCTTGTTCCAGACGCTTCTCGGCAGGAAGCCGAGGCGAATATTGGTGAGTGTATATGCTTGGTGTCCTTTTGGGGATACAAGAAATATATACAAGAAATGTAAGCCCTACTTCATATGGCGATTTCTCTAATCATTGTTCTTTTCGGGGTCCTTATTACAAGGCAGCCCCTCTCATTTAGGGGGCCTTAGGGTCTAGGGTTTAGGGTTTAGGGTTTAGGGCAGCAAGCCCCTCAATCCGAAACCCTAAACCCTAAACCCTAAACTTAGGGTACCCCGAACAGGGAGCCATAAGAACTGACCATATTGATCCATCGGACGGCAAGGCCATGAAGAGTTTTCTCGGATTGAGGGGTTTGCTGCCCTAAACCCTAAACCCTATAAACCCTATAAACCCTATAAACCCTATAAACCCTATAAACCCTATAAACCCTATAAACCCTATATACCCTATAAACCCTATAAACCCTATAAACCCTATAAACCCTATAAACCCTATAAACCCTATAAACCCTATAAACCCTATAAACCCTAAACCCTAAACCCCCAGCGGTCCCCTGTGCCCAATCATCTTCCCTAGCCACAAAAATCCCCAAACCCAGACCCTCGACCCTAAACACCTAGGACCCAGAGCAGGCCCTTATTCCCTTTGCGGGCTTGGAGACACCTCCTAAACCCTAAACCCTAAACCCGAGACACCCAACATCGCAGGAATCTTGACCGCCAATGACGTCTACAAGCCGGAGCGCTTCGCGGCAGTAGCCTGCCTACAGGTCAAAAAGTATGGGGTTCATAGGGTTTTCATAGGGTTTTCATAGGGTTTGTAGGGCTTGCAGGGCTTATAGCGTTTGCAGGGTTTACAGCGTTGATAGGGTTTATTTACAATTGGGGCTTATGGTCTAGAAAGGGTGCGAACGCTTCTTGACTACCCTAAACCTTAAACCGTAATACTAAATCCCAACCCTCCTGAACCCCCCTAATCCCCAAACCGTAAGCCGCCTGTGTTAAGCTGCAGCTATGAGTCTAAACTCAAGGCATTGAGACCCTCATATACTCCTAGTATGGCCTTATATTCCCTTAGACATCTTAAACACAAGAGGGGGGGCACGACCTGAAGGATCCAAGGTACAACCCGTAGATAATCGTCTACTAGTTGCCCAAGGACCCCCCCCGCCCCCGCAAAGAAAAAAAGGATAATGGTTCTTACATTGCCCTTATGAGGTTATTGAAAAAATCGGTGGGTGGGGGTGGGTGGGGGGGTGGGGGAGGTTCTTACGCAAGTAGTAGCCCTAAACCCCAAACCCCAAACCCCAAACCCTAAACCCTAAACTCTAAACCGACGGCCGAGGTCAAAACACTCACCGAAGGCTTGGCTTGTTCCTCTGCCACCAAGCTGGCCTCTCGGAGGCTTTAGGGGGGCCTTTAGGGCCCCTTCCCCCTTTTTTTAAAGCTCAGGGTTTAGGGTTTAGGGTTTAGGGTTTAGGGTTTAGGGTTTAGGGTTTAGGGTTTAGACCACGAGCAGACCCTTAGAGTTTTTTCCCCACCGGACAAGTGGGGTTGTTAGGACAAAACGGCGGCGCACACTGTGTGACGCGACTCTCAGGACAGAAGGCAGTACAGCATTGAGGACCACAGAGAGACGGCAAGGAGTACGAGATTCAGGGCACTAAGCAGGCCAGGGAGGCTCAGGCGGGCAACTGTACCGGACATGTGGCCACATGCAATAAGCAGGCCAACAAATTTCACGGGCAACTGTACCGGAATGTGGCCACACATGCAATAAGCAGGCCAAAGGGGCCCAGGCGGGCAGCTGTACCGGAATGCGCAGACGCAATAAGCAGGCCAAGGAGGCTCAGGCAGGTAACTATACCGGAGCTGAATGGGGGACCGCGCAGCAAGGTGGCAGAGGTTTCATAAGTTAGATTTAGAGTTCAGGGTGACAAACACCAGCTTCCGAAAGGGACGTAGGTTTGCGGCTTCAGGCGTTAGAGAGGGGCTTGGATTCAAGGGTCAGGGTGGGGATGCTCGAAGTGGTAATTTTTAGGGCTTAGGTTACTTGAGTCTAGAGGGTGTTTACAGGGGCGTTGGGGGTTTTAGGGTGTCAGAGGGTTTAGGGCATTTAGGGGATCAGGCTTTCGGTCGTTGAGGGGCTTAGGGCTTTCCGGGTGCAAGCCGAATGGGGGCGGGGTAGGGTTCGAGGGTTCAGGGCCGTTGGGTTGGGGGTTTGGAGTTTAGGGTCATTGGCTGGGTTGCTTAACGGTTGTTTGAGGCCAGTTCTGTTTACATGTAGAGTTTTTGGTTCATAGGGTTTATAAGGGTTTATAGGGGTTGTCGGGTTTAGGGTGTATAGGGTTTAGGGTTTATAGGGTTTAGGATTTATAGGGTTCAGGGTTGGGTGTAGGGCTTAGGGGTAGGGAAAACGGTTTAGCGAGTCCAAAATAGGGATCATCGTACCCCCCCCCCCCCGTATTAGAATCCCATTAAGGACTGTTAGTATAAGGGGGAGCATCCGAAACTAGAGCCCTGAACGAAGGGCACAACGACCACCCGAAGCCACACACTTCGTAGCGGTTTTAGGGTTTAAGACTTATGCAGGTTCCTTGTGCTGGAACACGAACTCCGGTTGCGTTCAGGGTGTAGATGGGGCTCTAGCAGTGCAGAGTGGAGTTACACCAGAAAGGCAAGCTTTAGGGTGCAACGCCCCTGACTCCTCGAAAGGGGCCAGCTACGGAGGGGACGTTAAGTGAGAATAGAACATCCTTGCCAGCTAGATTTTTCTCCTTTGGAGGGGCGGGCGGGTGGATTTCTAACAGGCTCTCAGCTCTCAAGCTCTATGGGGGGGGGGGGGGGGGGGGGGGGGGAGAGGGGGTTCTCGAAGTTTGTGTATCTTTTTGGGCCCTTGTTGTAAGGGTGCCGTGCTACATATAGGACCCCAAAAGGGACCCTAAGTTCGAGAACGCCCTTAAACCCTAAACCCTAAACCCTAAACCCTAAACCCTAAACCCTAAACCCTAAACCCTAAACCCTAAACCCTAAACCCTAAACCCTAAACCCTAAACCCTAAACCTAAACCCTAAACTTCAGGTCCTACCTGGCGACCTCTTGGGTGGGTCCCTCTTCGCAAACGTGCACCGCGGGGAGCGAACTGTAGGGGGTTGCTGGGTCGAAGATGGAGGTGCTTTGAGGCGCAGGAAACGTAAGCAGGGGTGTAGGTTTAGGGGTTTAGGGGTTTAGGAGTTTAGGGGTTTAGGGGTTTAGGGCTTTAGGGGTTTAGGGGTTTAGGGGTTTAGGGGTTTAGGGGCTTAGGGGCTTTGGGGCTTAGGGGCTTAGGGGCTTAGGGTTTAGGGTTTAGGGTTCGGGTTTAGGGTAGCAGGTTGTTAGAAGTCAGGCCCAACTTCGGATGATGATTATGACTTACACCTTGTCAGCCTGGGTCTACCCTGTTTGTTAAGTTTCCCTGAGCCCTGAAGCAGGGAAATTGAATGTCCATATGCGGTCTGGTGTCCGGGCATTGCCTGCTATAGGAACCCCGTAAAGGGTACCCGTAATTCTGGTTGAAACTGTTGGGGAACAAAGAAGACTAAAGCCCTAGGTAGCCCGTAACTACATAATCCTATCACCATTGAAAGGTTAACCTTTCTTGGCCCAGAGTACTCAGCAGCTAGGTCTATACCCTATTTTAAAGGAAGGGCCCGTACTTCACCTTGGGTTGCATAGGGTAAAAAGAGGGTATATAAGGGGTCCCCTTGCTAAGGGCCCATACTAAGGGACCATGTAACTCCCTTAGAGAATCTCCAGGGGGCCTTACTGCACCAAGGGCCCAAAACTTCAACAACACACCATGGCTGGGTTCTAGAACCCTAAACCCCAAACCCTTAGCCCTAAACCCTAAACCCTAAACCCTAAACCCTAAACCCTAAACCCTAAACCCTAAACCCTAAACCCTAAACCCCTAAAGCCTAAACCCTAACGCCTTGGGGTGGCCGAAGGTGCTAATTGGAGAGAGCTCAGGTGCCAACCGAACCCCAAAGCCCTGAGCCTTGACAACCCCAAGTTTTTGACAGGTCCAGCTCTGAACCCCAAAGCCCTAAACCCTTGATCGTCAAAGCAAGCGTTTGGGGAGGAGAGCGTCGTGGACGTCCTGAACGCAATTGATGTGGACTACTGCGTGCCCCGGACACCAAGTCGCGGGAGTCGGGGGTTGAGGTTTAGGGTTTAGGGTTTAGGGTTTAGGGTTTAGGGTTTAGGGTTTAGGGTTTAGGGTTTAGGGTTTAGGGTTTAGGATTTAGGGTTTAGGGTTTAGGGTGTAGGATTGAGGGTAGCTGCGAGGGCTAATTTGAACCTGAAAGGGCACTGTATCCAAACCTCTAATCTGGGGCTGGGGGTGGGCTGGGGGGGGCGGGGGGCTGGGGGTGGGGGTGGGTGGGGTGGTGGGGGCGGGGTGAGGGTGAGGGTGGGCTTCGGGATTTGTCAATCAAATGGCACCGGAACCCGAAACCCTTCATCTTGAACCCTAAATCCTAACCCCTAGCCCTAAACCCTAAACCCCCCTGAACCCCCCCAAAACACCTGCCTCAACCCAACAGCTGTGAGGTCTTGGGGAACCATGAGTTCGACTACGGCGCAGAGCGCACGAAGGCACAGAACTGTTGCTTCCGTGATAGCGTTCGGTTTTGATGTGGAGGTTTGGTGTTTAAACTTGGCGGACCGACCATGACTGAAGGAGTGTGGCCGGAGACCTTGTGCAGGTCTTAATGGCATGGGTTTTTGTGTCCTCGAGCTGCCTATATTTTCTTGGGAACCCGACAAGAGTGCACGCAAGAGACGCGGGGACAGGTGTTGTACGAAGCCATGGAACCCCTAGGCCCCCAACCTAAAATTCCTCCACCCGACAGCACCAAGCTCCAGAAGCTCGGCGTTAGGATTTGTCGTTTGCTTTGCTGCACCCATGGCCTCCATTTAGAAGAGTCGGTATCTACCGTGTTCTGCTGTTCTTTCGACGTTTTTTTCAAGGGTTCTGGGAACCCAAGAACTCTAGACCCTTAAAGCATTAATCCAGGAACTCCCAAAAACGGTGCAAACCCCCAGGCCCCAAACCCAAAAAAATGAGACCTTCTTAATCCCCAAATCCTGAACAATAAGCCCCGAAGCCCCGAAAACTCCTAGCTCCCCAAAATCCCCTGCGTCTCCAGGCACTGATGAGTGTAACCCTAAACCCTACACCCTAAAACCTAAACCCTAAATCCCAAACCCTAAACCCTAAACCCTAAACCCTAAACCCCTGCGTCTCGAGGAGCTGATGAGTCAGAGCAAGTTCCCCTGGCTGGGTTCCAACGTCCGCGAGCTGCGAGGGCAGGCTGCGGACGCTTTGGCGCTTTGGGGGGACGTCGGGTTTAGGCCTTCATACTCCTGAACCCCCTAAACCCGAAACCCGAGACCCTAAACGGTTTAGGGTTTAGGGTTTAGGGCTTAGGGTTTAGGGTTTAGGGTTTAGGGTTTAGGGCGCTCCCTAGGGGCTCTGGGTTTAGTGCTTCCTGGGGCCTGGAGATATTTAGGGCTGATGGGCACTGATAGGGCTTCTTGGGGTTCAGGATTCCTGGGTTTAGAGTAGGGTTTACAGTAGGGTTTAGGGCTTAGGGCTTAGGGTTTAGGGTTTAGGGTTTAGGGTTGTTGAGCTTAGGGCTTCTTGCTGTTTTGGGGGATGCCTCGGACTTAGGAGTGTTTAGGGCTTGGGGGGGGGGGGGGGGAAGGATAGGTCTCAGCTTTTGTTTGTTTTAATCGCTTGTTTTTTTGACTTACCCTAACTCAACACTTTCAGGTTCAGGGTGCAGGGATTAGGGGATTAGGGGTTTAGGGGTTTAGGGGTTTAGGGGGTTTAGGGGTTTAGGGGTTTAGGGGTTTAGGGGTTTAAGGGGGTTTAGGGCTTGAATCTTCTGATGCGTTGGGCTGCTGTCTTATCCCTAACTAATCCTTGATAACCCTCAAGCGGCTCTTGTCTTGGGAATTGTTAAAGTGATTCGTCCTCTTGGCAGAGTAGTTGCCGCGCGGCACGTGTTACGTGGGCTCTTCGGCCAGGTTGGCCAAATTAGGCCTCCCCAGCCTCAATGTAGCCGCTTGCCGCCATGGGCAACAAGCGACGCGGCCCCAGCAGAAGCATGAAACACCGGCGCGGCATGTGCGGGAAGCACGGGCCACCCTTGCCCGGGGCTCCGGCTTTCCGGGAAGCGCGAAGCGAACAAAAGAAAGCCAGGAGCTTCGACCCTGCTGGGAAGGTGCTGCGGCAAGAAAAGACAGTTCGAAGGAATCCCACCAAGAGTATACCAGGCAGCTGCTGCCAGGCAAAGCTAAGTCCTCACGGTTTAGGGTTTTGGGTTTAGGGTTTAAGGTTTTTGATTGTTGGGTTTCTTGAGGCGAATGCTGGACGACTTCCCAGATCTAGGTCGACCTTTACCCCTGGTCGGTAATTGCCTTCACCTTGCCTTGTTCAGGGTGTCTGAAGAAACCCTAAACCCCAAACCCTAAACCGTAAACAGCAACCCGAAACACCCAAACCCCTAACCCCCTCCCCCTCCCACAGCCAACCGAGGAGAAGCCTCTTTTCCACAACACCATGGACCACGATACCTTCGACGTCCCGCTTCCGGGTGGTGGCAATGTCAAGGCAAACCTTTTAGGGTTTAGGGTTCAGGGTTTCAGGTTTCGGGTTAGTGTTTAGGGTTTAGGGTTTAGGGTTTAGGGTTTAGGGTTTAGGGTTTAGGGTTTAGGGTTTAGGGTTTAGGGTTAAGGGTCCAGAGTTGATTGTAGGGTTCTTAAGGGAGGGGGGTCCAAGTAAGGCATGCAACCCGAGGTTCCCAAATACTCCCCACTACTTGTTAGGGCTCCCTAGAAGCTTCCCTAAGGCTCCCCAGACACCTACCCCCCGAACCCCCCCTCCCTTGAGAACCCCATAAGTTGAGGGTTTCGACTTCAAGGTCAAAAGTTGACCAGGAAATCCTAAACCCTAAACCCTAAACCCTAAACCCTAAACCCTAAACCCTAAACCCTAAACCCTAAACCCTAAACCCTAAACCCTAAACCCTAAACTAACCCTAAACCCTAAACCCTAAACCCCAAACCCTAAAGAGTCCACAAGAAAGGGTGGGCCCAGGCTTGCAAAGTTCGGGAGCATTGGCGGGCTTGATTGAAGAGATTCTGGGGGGTTACGTGCTAGGATTTTTCGCTGCAGAGCTTCCGGGGCTTCCGGGCTGCAACTTAGATTTTTAGGGTTTAGGGTTTAGGGTTTAGGGTTTAGGGTTTAGGGTTTAGGGTTTAGGGTATAGGGTTTGTAGGGTTTATACCTGCAGGGTTGGGAAGCCGTTTAATGGGGTTCATTCTTCGGTCTCATTCAGGGTTTCAAGGTTTAGGGCTTAGGATTTTCAAGGTGTTCAAGGTTTCAGTGCCTTCAGGTTTCGGGCTTAGGCTTCCCCAAGCGCTCTATATACGTCCTGGCAGTTTGAGGGGTAGGGGGGTGGGGGGAAACGACATCCAAACCCTAAGCCGAAAAAACCCCAAGCCCCAAACCCCAAACGCTATACCCTAAACCCTAAACCCTAAACCATTCCGGAACAGGTGGGTGTCTTTGGCCTCTGTACACCTGCGACTCCTCAGCTGTCACAGCCTGGCAAAGATGCGGCTGGGCGGGTTTAGGGTTTCGGGTTTAGGGTTTCGGGTTTAGGGCTAGGGTTTAGGGTCTAGGGTTTAGGGTTTAGGGTTTAGGGTTTAGGGTTTCGGGTTTAGGGTTTAGGGTTTAGGGCTTAGGGCTTAGGGCTTAGGGCTTAGGGTTTAGGGCTTAGGTTTAGGGTTTCGGGTTTAGGGTTTCGGGTTTCGGGTTTCGGGTTTAGGGTTTAGGGTTTAGGGCTAGGGTTTAGGGTTTAGGGTTTCGGGTTTAGGTTTAGGGCTAGGGTTTAGGGTTTAGGGTTTAGGGTTTAGGGTTTCGGGTTTAGGGTTTCGGGTTTCGGGTTTAGGGTTTCGGGTTTCGGGTTTAGGGTGGAGGGCTTGATTTCAAGAAGCTTCGTCGCCAGAAGATGGAAACAAATCTTGAAAGGTAGTGTAGCAGCAGCCGGCTATATCCTCAACCCAAGACCTTCAAGGCCAGTCCTTTGGTTCTTCCCGGCCTACCCCTGATGAACCTCTATAGGGTTGAGGGTTTAGGGGGTCGCTGTACCTTTTTTGGCCTTACAAGCCCGAAACCTTATGATCTCAGCATATGGCAGTTCTGAGATCCTCCAAGCTGACTCGGCTCCCAAAGTGACTCCACCCCTCAACTGCTGTAACCCCTCGTGACTCAAGCCTTGGTTTAACCGTAAACCCTACACCCTAAACCCTGCGCCCTAAGCCCTGAGCCCTAAACCCTAAACCCTAAACCCTAAACCCTAAACCCTAAACCCCTAAACCCCTAAACCCCTAATCCCTAAACCCTAAACCCCAAACCCCAAACCCCAAACCCCAAACCCCAAACCCTAAACCCTAAACCCTAAACCCTAAAGCCTAAACCCTGAACCCTGAACCCTGAACCCTGAACCCTGAACCCTGAACCCTGAACCCTGAACCCTGAACCCTGAACCCTGAACCCTGAACCCTGAACCCTGAGCCCGAACGAAGGTCATCTTCGAGCAGCCGCACGAGCATGCCGACCGCTGCGTCAAAGAGCTGAGGGCCATGGGCTGTGCCTCAGATGCAGGCTTTTGCAACCTTCCCTAAACCCTAAACCCTAAACCCTAAACCCCAAACCCCAAACCCTAAACCCAAATGGAACCCTAAACCTTCCTCAATTCGAGCTACCCACCAAGGTGAGTTCATCATTGCGCTGACTCATCTCACTTTGATGCGCCTCGGTATATTCGAGACCTCCGAAGTCAGGGTTTAGCTCTTTAGGTCTGGAGGTCTTCCCTACAAAGGTTTTATGTGTATGCATATATATATATATGCAAGGTTCAGGGTTCAGGTTTTAGGAAATCGGGCTTAGGGTTTTAAGGGTTGGGACTAGGGTTTAGGCATTAGGGTTGAGATCTTCCATCTAAGCCTGAAAGGCAGATACTATCTCTGTCCCGAACTAGGAGAGGGGCGGTGGAAGGTTTGGCGTGCTACAGTAGGGTTTACAGGTGTTAGGGTTTAGGGTAAGCCCTAAACACTTACATGCCAGAGCCCGTATTTCCCTTCTAGCCCAACAGGAAGCCTGAAGAACTTCCCAGAAGGACCGTCAAATCCTAAACCCCAAACCCCAAACCCCACACCCCAAACCCCAAACCCCAAACCCTAAACCCTAAACCCCAAACCCCAAACCCTAAACCCTAAACCCTAAACCCTAAACCCTAAACACCCCCACGCCCTAAACCCCTTGGGGCTTCGGGGGAGTGGCGCAGAGGGCCGACAAGCAGCTGGCCGAGTGGTGCCCGGGCATCAACGTCATCCTTGGTGGCCACGACCATGCACCTCGGCCTTCAGGGTTTAGGGTTTAGGGTTTAGGGTTTAGGGTTTAGGGTTTAGGGTTTAGGGTTTGGGGTTTAGGGTTTAGGGTTTAGGGTTTAGGGTTTCGGGTTTTGGGTTTAGGGTTTAGGGTTTAGGGTTTGGGGTTTAGGGTTTAAAAGTTTAGGGTTTAGGGTTTCGGGTTGTATAGGGTTTATGGTTTAGGGCTTAGGGTTTAGGGATTAGGGTTTAGGGGTAGGGTTTTATAGGGTGGCTTCACAGTAAGGAGCCTAAAAGTTAGACTTTCAGCAGAGGTTCAGAAGTCAACCACGGATTTTAGGTTCAGGATCATGGTTTTCCAGTGCTTTGGGCTTACAGCGTTTTACAGTCTACCGCTTGTCAAATAGGGGTTTTCAGGTTCAGGCTTTGACCCCTTATCATACATAGCTGGGCGATGCTGGTGGCAAAGAGTTCGAATCCTGAAAACCCAGAAGCCCCAGAAGCCCTCAACCCTGAAAACCCTAAAGCCCCTTCACCCTAAACCCCAAACCCTAAACCCTGCCTTTTCTAGTCTCCGTAGCGCTCCCGAACCCTGCGCTATGTACACTCACAAGCAACACTGAACCCTAAACCCTAAACCCTAAGCCCCAAACCCTAAAATTCTAAACCCTAAACCCTAAATCCTAAGCTCAAAACCCTAAACCCTAAACCCTAAACCCTAAACCCTAAACCCTAAACCCTAAACCCTAAGCCCTAAACCCTAAACCTAAACCCTAAACCCTAAACCCTAAACCCTTCCATGCCAAGCTCTCGGATTTAATGCAAGGATCCCTTCCTTCTCGTCCACCGCGGCGTGCTCATCGCGAAGTGCGGACAGACGCCCGCCCTCATCGGTCCTGAAAGCAACTGGTTGATAGTCGGACGCCGGAAGCCCTAGCCCTAAACCCTGAACCCTACAAGCCCTGAACCCTATCCCTATAAAGCTCAAACCCTCAACTCAGGGTACTAGGGGCTTAGGGCTTTAAAGTTTACAGGGGGGGGGGCCCTTGGAACCTTCAGCTTTTGAACCTCGAGTCGGGTCTTGGATTTCATGCCATTCGTGAAGGTGTCTAGGGACCAAAGCCGTGATTACCCCAAAACTACCATTTGCTCAGAAGCCCCCCCCCCCCCCCCCCGCATAATGCAAAAAAATTCCGTCGTAAGGGTAGAATATAGATTATTATCTTTTTTGAGTACTATACAGGAACTTGACCCCCAGAAAGTACTCCCCATGAGACTGAGGTGTAGGGAGACCAATGATGCTGAAGACCTATTCCTCAACGCCCCAACCCCCAAACCCCAAACCCTTACACCCTACCTGAATCCTGAAGCCCAAACCGTACCCTAAACCTAAACAACCCTAAACTCCCGAGCCCTGGCCCTAAACTCTTCAATCAAACCGATACCCAAAACCCCGAACCCTAAACCCAAAACCCGAAACTCTAAACCCTAAACCCTAAACCCTAAACCCTAAACCCTAAACCCTAAACCCTCAGTTCAGGAACGCAGATCATCTGGGGGTCCTCGATCTTTTCCTGGACCGAGGAGGTCCCAAGGGGGCCCTGCAGATCGTTGGTTGCACTTGCTGGGGTTTAAAGAGGGGTTTAAGGTTTGGGAGGTAGGGTTTAGGGTTTAGGGAGGTAGGGTTTAGGGTTTAGGGTTTAGGGTTTAGGGTTTAGGGTTTAGGGTTTAGGGTTTAGGGTTTAGGGCTTAGGGTTTAGGGTTTAGGGCTTAGGGCTTAGGGCTTAGGGTTTATGTTTTGGGGGTTTTAAGGTTCAGAATTCAGGGTTTAGGGTTTAGGTAGGGTTTAGGGTTTAGAGTAATAGTAAACAGCTTGCCCCCTCAATGAAGTCATCATGACAGGGATATACAGTACATGGTACAGTGAAGTACTGCCGTGAAGACAGCATCCCTCGAATGCTTGACGTAAGCTTTATATGGCTTCCGCGTACTGACATGTCTTGCTAAGTTCCTTTGCAGGACCATTAAACCCTAAACCCTAAACCCTAAACCCTAAACCCTAAACCCTAAGCCCTAAACCCTAAACCCTAAACCCTAAACCCTAAACCCAGGTTTTAGCCTCCAGGGATTGGCGGAAGGGAGGGAGGACTGGGACTTTAGGGTTTCAGGGCTTGCGGAGTCACCGGCTCTGAGGGGGGTTAGGGTTTAGGGTTTAGGGTTTAGGGTTTAGGGTTTAGGGTTTAGGGTTTAGGGTTCAGGGTTCAGGGTTCAGGGTTTAGGGTTTAGGGTTTTGGCCACTGAGAGTTGAATTTCTGAACCGAGGATCAACCACTCCTTCAAGAAACTCGGCCAAGAGAGCTCGGTTTAGGGTTTAGGGTTTAGGGTTTAGGGTTTAGGGTTTCGGGCTAGGGTCTAGCGTCTCGGGTCTAGGGTTTCGGGTTCAGGGGGGACTTTGGATCGGAACTTCGGGTCCTACACCCCAAGCCCGAACCCAAGCTGCCTCAAGCCGCAGCCGAAGATCACGGAGCCCGAAGCCCGAAACAAGGAACCTCATACTGTTGGGGTTCTGGTCGATAGGGTTTAGGGTTTAGGGTTTAGGGTTCAGGGTTTAGGGTTCAGGGTTTCGGGTTTAGGGTTCAGGGTTTTTCCTGATTGAAATCACCGGGACAATCCTGGCCCTTGACCCCCTCGCGCCACGCACACCTGCCCTGCCATTGCAGCGCCTTTGACCCCGCACCCTCTAAGACTTCAAAGTCCCCATCAAGCGCTCAGCACAAAGTGCCTAAAACCCCCCCCCCACCCGAATGTTCGAAACCCTAAGCTGAAAACCTCAAAACCTCGCCGCAAACTCGATAAACCCTGTAAACCCCAAACCCCAAACCCCAAACCCCAAACCCCAAACCCCAAACCCTAAACCCTCAACCCTCAACCCTAAACCCTAAACCCTAAACCCTAAACCAAGCGACTCACCGAGGTTCTTGACAACATCCCTGGCGACGGCTCATCCTTCAGTCCTGCCCCTCCGGCTATGTTGGAGCACTGGCCCCAGACCCCTCGAACCAACTCAGTCTTAGGCCCTAAACCCTAAACCCTAAACCCTAAACCCTAAACCCTAAACCCTGAACCCTAGTTAAATCCTAACGACTCGACTACTCTTCCTCTCCATCGCGGGTAGTGGGATGGAGCAAGCTCCGCGCCGATGCCAACCCTGAAGCCTAGCCCTCCCGCCTGAAAACCCTAAACCCTAAACCCTAGACCCTAGACCCTAGACCCTAAACCCTGAACCCTGAACCCTAAAGGGCGTGGGGTGGGGAGGGGGGGGGGGGGGGGGGGGGGGGGGGGGGGGGGGGGGGGGGGGGGGGGGGGGGTGGGGCGGTCCGCCGAGATGGGTTTACGAGAGGATGTTGGGCAAGAGCGCTTAGAGTTTTGTGAGTTTTGGGTCCTAAACCCTAAGCTCCGGGGTTTAGAAGTTGGGGGGGGGGGGGGGGGGGGGGGGGGGGTGGGTAAGCAGGGTTTAGGGTTTACAGGGCTGAAGTTTTGTAGCTCAACTCCAAACCCCAAAGCCGGGCCCTGGCAATGGCGAACGAGCCCCTCACTATGACCTCAGGGCTTCGTGTTCCTGTAGGGTTTAGGGTTTAGGGTTTAGGGTTTAGGGTTTAGGGTTTAGGGTTTAGGGTTTAGGGTTCAGGGTTTAGGATTCAGGGTTCAGGGTTCAGGGCTTCGCCCGCGGATACCCGAAAACGTGTGACAAGGCAGGTGGTGGACAAGTGGCAAGCGACCAAGAACGGCCAGGAAGACGAGGTGCCCATGCTCTTGCATTTCGGCTCTGGGTTTGGGAGTTGGGGTTTAGGGTTTAGGGTTTAGGGTTTAGGGTTTAGGGTTTAGGGTTCAGGGTTTAGGGTTTAGGGTTTAGGGTTTCGGGTTTGTATGAAGTAATTAAGGGGTTGGGCTCAAAAGAGTTTGGCGTTTAGGACCGAGTTCGGGTTCCAGGAACCCTCAAAACCCGAAACCCGAAACCCTAAACCCTAAACCCTAAACCCTAAACCCTGGGACCCTAAACCCTAAACCCTAAACCCTAAACCCTAAACCCTAAACCCTAAACCCTAAACCCTAAACCCTAAACCCTAAACCCTAAACCCTAAACCTGAACTCCCAGGTGCTTTGCATGATAGGCGACGTGGAGTTGTCTTCGAGCACCAATGAGCTCAGAACGCGTGAGCTTCTTCGTCGCAGGGTTTAGGGTTTAGGGTTTAGGGTTTAGCGTTTAGGGTTTAAGGTTTAGGGTTTAGCGTTAAGGGTTTAGGGTTTAGGGCTCGCCCAAACAATTGATGAAACAGGCTAAGCCTTGGGTTTTTTTCCTTGTACTAACGTCCTTATGAGGGATTATAATAGGGAGTATAAGGGGCTAACTAAACTTCTTAAAATCTATACCCTCCACACCGTCCACACCTTTAACCCCCTAAACCCTAAACCCTAAACCCTAAACCCTAAACCCTAAACCCTAAAACCTAAACCCTTCTCCAAGAAGAAGCAAAGCGAAACACAACACACCGCCCCAGAGTCCCCCGTTACCGCAGCATGTTTTCCCCAGAGGCTTCTGGCCTTAAGGCATGTGAAGTAGGGTGTATATTACTGTTTTTGGTGAGTGTGTATAAGGTTCCTTTTTCGTCTTGGTGAGTGCATATATTTGGTGTCCTTTTAGGAGTACAAGAAATATATACCGTACTGCATGTAGTGTTTAGGGTTTAGGGCTTACTGGGTTTTGGAGCACTTGACTTCAATACTGCTGTGTTTCTGGGTTCTCATTGTCGCTACTCATACCTAAAAAATTTACGCATTGCTACCAGGTCTACTCCGAAGTAGGGTTTATCCCCAACCTAAACTCTAAACCCTAAACCCTAAACCCTAAACCCTAAACCCTAAACCCTAAACCCTAAACCCTAAACCCTAAACCCTAAACCCCCCAACCCTGAGCTGTGAAGCCCTGGATGCACCCAGTCCTTGCTTGCTCATGTGGCAAGCAGGTACCCTGCATAATCGCTTGTAGAGGAAGTGTACAGCGAGGTATTGAAGCAGGGTTTACACTACCGTTTTTGGTGAGTGTCTGGAAGGTTCCTTTTTGATATTGGTGAGTGTACATATTTTGGAGTCCTTTTGGGGGGTACAAGATATATATATATACACACGCATATATATATATATATATATATATGTATATACCGTACTTCATACAAGGTACGCCATTCCCTTACGAACCAGTAAAGAGCAGTAGCCACATTCCTCTGCTTTCGGCGTTAGGTTGCCCTGATCACCTCGTAGAACAAGAAGTAGGGCTAAACCTTAAACCCTAAACCCTAAAGCCTATAAAGCCTAGACCCTAGACCCTAAACCCCAAACCCTAAACCCTAAACCCTAAAGCCAAAACCCTATAAACCCTAAACCCTAGACCCTAAACCCGAAAAAAGGGGGAACAGGTAGGCTCGAAGCCAATGTTGCACGAGGAACGCTTTTGGGTGCCTGGTCGCTGATGCCATGCGCTGGGCCTACCGAGACGAAGGCTGTGGCAGAGGTTTTGGGTCTTGAGCGGTTCAGGGGCAGGGTGGGTTTAGGGTTTAGGGTTTTGGGTTTAGGTTTTAGGGTTTAGGGTTTAGGGTTTAGGGTTTGAGGTTTGAGGTTTCCTGTGGCTATTTGCGCGGTGCGTGCGATGATCGGCCTTGACCCGACGCCTGGAAGGCTTCTTTGGGGACCCTGAAGCCCGGGGACGTGCCGCGGCTGCCGGAACAGGATCAGTGGCAGATGGCCCTGAAGGGCATCATTCACACGAATGCCATGCATAAGGCCTAGTTTAGGGTTTAGGGTTTAGGGTTTAGGGTGCGAGCCAATTCTAGCACACGTCGCCGCTGTTGCGGGAGCACCCACGAAAGCCGCCTGGTCCAACTGTGCGGACTTCACGGCTCTCAAGGAGCAAAAGGAAGCTCTCAAGTTCTCAAGCACTTCCTGGTTCAGGGTTTAGGGTTTAGGGTTTAGGGTTTAGAGTTTAGAGTTTAGGGTTTAGGGTTTAGGGCCGGAAGTCAGCGCAGTTGTTTGTGAGACATCGTGGCAAGGATGGTGCATCGGCATCGTCTTGTGTTCGATGCCTCCCAAGACGTTGAAGCCTTAGAAGGCATTCCAAGACGCCCATAGAAGACCTCAGCAAGTGCAAGTAGAAGACCACTCAAGCACCCCGGAAGCACCATGTAAATCCCTAAAACCCTGATAAATCCTAAACTCTCTAACCCTTGACCCCTGACCCCTAAACCCTAACCCCTGACCCCTAAACCCTAAACCCTAAACCCTAAACCCTAAACCCTAAACCCTAAACCCTAAACCCTAAACCCTAAACCCTAAACCCTAAACCCTAGACCCTAAACCCTAAACCCTAAACCCTAAACCCTAAACCCTAAACCCTAAACCCTAAACCCTAACCCAACCACGGCCTTGAAGACCATTGCCCTCGCAGGTTGTCAGGCGGCGATCATCAACGGCGGCTTCATCCGCCAGGACCCTCAACCAGAATATTTAGGGTTTAGGGTTTAGGTTTAGGGTTTAGGGTTTAGGGTCGTCTACTGTGAATTCAACAGTAGCAAATTTCTGGTCCTTCAAATAGGCTGTACTCGATCCTAACCCCTAAGCCCTAAACACGCCACCAGCCTACAGGATCGGTCCTACCCTGCGCACACAGTCGGCCTCTCAGGAGTTTAGGGCTTTGTTTTTTTCGGGGTTTAGGGTTTAGGGTTTTTTTTTCGCTTAGGGTTTAGGATCTAGGGCCTCTAGGGTTTAGAGGGCCTTGATGTCTTTAGGGTTTTGCTGCTTTAGGGTTTCGGGTTCAGGGGCTTGTTTCTTTTTTTGGGGTTTGGGGCGTAGATTTCTGGGGCTTATAGTTTAGGCTCTAGGGTTCAAAGCAACAGGCGACATGGCCATGGGTCCGCTGAAGGCCTCGGGGCCGGCTGAAGCAAGAAGGGGCGCCAAGATCATGTACTTCATCTTTGTATATCTTTGTTTACTTCGCCTTTTGGGTTTCCTTATCTAGGAGAAAGATGAAGTTTTACATTTCCTCTTGGTTCTTGGAAAAGTAAGCTTGCCTTCGAAAAAACAAGTCGGAACCCCTGGGCTGGTCATGAATGGCTCATTCAGTATGGCGAGGAATCTTGCCTAGAAAGTGCAAACCACCACTGGAGACCTTCAAGGACTGAAAAGCACACTGCTGTTCACCTTAAGCAGGACGTTGGGATTTCAAGCGGTGAAGGATGCCCATTGAGGGCTTAGGGATCCCGCACAAACCGAATGAATCAAGACCCCACACGCATCCCAGCGCAAGCCCTGTGAGAAAGTTCGAGTTGCTCAGGCTGTTAACTGAGGTTTCGGGGTTTGGGTGCCAGGGCTTTGGGGTTTGGTGGGTTTAGCTAACCCCCGGAGCCCTCTTGGACAGCCACAATACACCCCAAACCCAAAACCCGAAACCCCCTAAAGGGCTTTGAGACCTGAACCAACCCCCTAACCCTCCCTCCAGGCTTTGAGTCCTGAACCCCACGCCCCCCTTAGTCCTCCTCTTCCTTGAAGCCCCCTGAAACCCTGATTCTTGAGCCCCCCACCGCGTAAACCCTAAAACCTAAAGGTCCTAAACCCCGGACCTTTAGGTTTAGGGTTTAGGGTTTAGGGTTTAGGGTTTAGGGTTTAGGGTTTAGGGTTTAGGGTTTAGGGTTTAGGGTTTAGGGTTTAGGGTTTAGGGTTTAGGGTTTAGGGTTTAGGGTGGGGGGAGTTTGGGGATTCATGGGCTCGACTCTGTACCCCCTCTGAGGCACTTACCATGACGCACGTGTCTGAAGAGATGCCATTCACGAAGCGAGTGGCCGGGGGCCAAGAGCCCTCTGGGTTTAGGGCTTTAAAAGTTCACCAACCCTGAACCCCAAACCCTTAACCTTTAACCCTAAACCGCCAAACCCCCAACCCTAAACCCTAACCCTCAACCCTAAACCCTACGCAAACCCTGCAACCTCAGCAATTTTCCCATCCGCGTCACACATGTGTACAGGTGATTGGTGCACGCCCGCCTGTTCAGATGACTTTCTGCATCTCACGCCCAAACTGGGAGGCACAATTTGTGGCTGTTGCTGGAGCAGTTGGCTTGTGAGGGCTGTGCCCCCCGCGCTGCGCAGCGGTGCGCACACGCTAAAGTGGTCAGAGCTACCCAAGTCGACGACGGGTTGCAGCTGTAGCGGAGCCTGAGACGCCCGAGTTCGAGAACGACATTCGGATTCTGGAAGAGGCGTTTCCTCATGAGCATCCTTCGGAGACATGCGGAAAGGAATCGAAGGCTTCAAGACCCTAAGCTGTAATTTTCACAGTATAGCTTGGCTAAATTTTGCCGGGCAATCCAATAAGCTTGTTTGTGCGAAGGGCTGTAAAGCCCTAACATCTGGAAAGCCCCTAACATCCCCAGAAAGAGACCGTCTAGGACCCAGAGTAGGCCCTCGTTACCTACTTTTCGGGTTTAGGCCTTAAGAAGCAATCTTGCGTGAGCAGGGGACTCTGCAAGCAGGTGGAAAGTCAGGATACGACTGGGGTTTTCCAGCCAACCCTGCCTGCCAAGCTCCTTGATCCCTAAACCCTAAACCCTAAACCCTAAACCCTAAACCCTAAACCCTAAACCCTAAACCCTAAACCCTAAACCCGCTAAGTTCCCTTAAGAAAACGAGGCCCTCCAGCGGCTCACCGGCCGCGCGCTGCGACGTGGGTTGGAGGACGGGTTTAGGGTTTAGGGTTTAGGGTTTAGGGTTTAGGGTTAAGGGTTTAGGGTTTGGGGTTTCGGGTTTAGGGTTTAGGGTCTAGGGTTTAGGGCTATGACGTGGGTTGGAGGACGGTGGCGACTTCAGCCGTTGGGCTTCTGGAGGGGGTTTAATTAGGGTATAGGATGTAGGGTTGAGGGTTCAGCGGCTCTGGTCGTTCAATTTCAACATGAGCAAGACATTCACAACATCATCAATCAGCTCAGCGACCAGCACCGGTGCGAGCTTTGGGAGTTGATGCAGGAACTCTGGTGGGCGTGAAGGCTATACAGTAGCTGCCACTGCTAGTGGTCATGAGCTGGTCCGAGTGCCGCTTGGAGCTCGGAAGGACCTGGATGTAGGGTTCAGGGTTTAGGGTTTAGGGTGCATTCTGTAGGCCGGGTAGGGGAACTATGTCTACGTGAGCAGTTCGGGATTTAGGGGTTGAAGGGTTTAGTTTAATTGCGGTTCAGGATTTAGGGTTTAAGAGGGGTTGAAGGGTTTAGTTTAGGGTTTAGGGTTTAGGGGCAGGGTTTAGGGTTCAAGTTTAGGAATTTGGGGTTAGGGGTTTAGGGCTGAGGGGTTGAGGGGTTTAGGGTTCAAGGGCTTAGGGTTTAAGGGCTCAGGGTTCAGGGTTGAGTTAGAGAGTGTGTCTGTCGGTGCGTGTGTTTGATTTTTAGCTTTAAGGAAATTTTGGGAGCTTGACGGGCTTCAGAGCTATAGGGTTTAGGGCATCAGGCCTTTAGGACGGTAGATTGTTGAGGATGCTGTAGTTCCCTGAGGCTCTACCTTGAAGATTCTTGCCTACCTCGAGCAGCACCTTCCTAAAAGCACAAAACCCTCCAAGCACAACAATCCCCAAGCCGTACTAAACCCTGAACCCTGAACGCTATAAACTCTAAACTCTAAACTCTAACCCCTAAACCCCTAAACCTATAAACCCTAAACTGTATAAACCCTAAATATAAACCCTAAACCCCTAAACCCCTAAACCCCTGAACCCCTAAACCCCTAAACCCCTAAACCCCTAAACCCCTAAAACCCTAAACCCCTAAACCCCTAAACCCCTAAACCCCTAAACCCCTAAACCCCTAAACCCCTAAACCCCTAAACCCCTAAACCCCTAAACCCCTAAACCCCTAAACCCCAAACCCCTAAACTCTATAAACCCAAAACCTGAACTCTAAACCCCTAAACCCCTAAACTCTGTGAACCCTAAACCTAAACCCAAGACCCCACAGATCCTTGGCAGGATAAGGGAGGCCCTTCTTAACCCTCTTCTGGCTCTCTTAAACAGGGACCCTAGTGTTGAGAGGGTCTATATCCCCAAGCCTAAACCCTAAACCCTAAACCCTAAACCCTAAACCCTAAACCCTAAACCCCAACAGAGGAGATGCTCCGGCCGGCGCCGCCGACCTCCTCTTTCCCACATGTCTCCGAGGCTTCTCATGGCTTTGGGCTTTGTGTTAGGGTTTAGGGTTGAGGGTTTAGGGTTTAGGTTTTAGGGTTGAGGCTTTAGGGTTCCGGGTTTCGGTTGTTGAACTGACTTTCGGTTTTGGGTTAGGGTTTAGGGGTTTTGTTCGACTTTAGATGTGCTGGGAGGGTGAAAACGTGATATTCAGTGAAGGGGCAGTTCGATGTGTTTTAATTTGGTACAAGGGCCGCTTATTGTTTGTACTTCAACCCTGAACCCTAAACCGCCTAAACCCTGAACACCACCACCGACAACACCCTAAGCATCCCCTCAGGGCCCAAAGCGCAAGAACCCCCAAAAGCCTGGACAGCGAAAGAACACTGGGCCATCCCAGAACTTGGGATGTTGCGAACAGCCCTTAACGGGGATTATCATAGGGGGTACTACAATGCTTGATAAGGACTGTTTGTATCACGAGGAACATCCCCACCTTTAAACCCATTGAACAAGCCAAAGCCCCGCCCTAGGTGTTGCAGGGCTTGGGCCGTGTGCACTAATCCAACTGCTCATGCCGTGCTTTCCAACTAAACCCCAAACCCTAAACCCTAAACCCTAAACCCTAAACCCTAAACCCTAAACCCTAAACCCTAAACCCTAAACCCTAAACCCTAAACCCTAAACCCTAAACCCTAAACCCTAAACCCTAAACCCTAAACGCTACGCAGGGACTCCATGTCGTCTTCGAGCCCAGCGCGCCAGCGCTTTCTCGCATCCAGCACCTCGGGCTCTGCGAAGGATGGTGCAAAGGGGTGTTTGGGAAACTCAGAAGCCCTGAGCCCCTAAACCCTAAACCCTAAACCCTGAACCCTAAACCCTAAACCCTAAACCCTAAACCCTAAACCCTAAACCCTAAACCCTAAACCCTAAACCCTAAACCCTAAACCCTAAACCCTAAACCCTAAACCCTAAACCCTAAACCCTAAACCCTAAACCCTAGCCCTAAACCCTAAACCCTAAACCCTAAACCTCATAGGTTTCTCGGTTGAGATTTAGTGTTTAGCGTCAGGGTCACGGCTTCGGCTTCAACTGCTTGGAGGTTTATGTGGAATTATAGGATAGGAGTTTAGGGTTTAGGGTTTAGGGTTTAGGGTTTAGGGTTTAGGGTTTAGGGTTTAGGGTTTAGGGTTTAGGGTGTCGGGTTTAGGGTTTAGGGTTTAGGGTTTAGGGTTTAGTGCTCATGGGTTGCGGTCTGAGGCGCCTGGAGCTCAATGGCAAGGAGGTGGAGCCGGATACGGAGTACTTAGTCGTGCCCTGACAGAGGGAGAAGACAAACGCAGGGCTTAAGATCCAAGGTTTAAGGGTTAGAGTTTGGAGTTTAAGGTTTCGGGTTTGGGTTTTAGTGTTTAGGGTTGAGAGTTTAAGGTTTAGAGTCAGAAAATGAGGGCTTCGGGCTTCAAGTTTTTCTTGCTAGATTAAAAAAAAAAGGCTTAAGGCTGTTCAGTGCTGTTCAGGGGCCTCGTGGGCCTGTGCTTGCAGGCAGCCATTCCCATCGATTGATGGTTTAGTGTCATACTCAGGTTTAGGGTTTAGGGTTTAGGGTTTAGGGTTTAGGGTTTAGGGTTTAGGGCTTAGGGCCCTCCCGCTTCCGTATGAGCTTTAGATGAGAGCGCAGTCATGAGACCTGAAGGAAGCAGGAGCTACGATGCCCGCAAAGGCGAACTCGTAGCGGTCCGTCTACCTGGCCATGAGCCCGAAAAACCCTGAAAGACCTCCGCCAAAATAGTCCGACCCCCAGGGTTGGCATGAGCCCCAAAACCCCAAACCCTTGAGTTAGGGATCAGGGTTTAGGGTTTGGGGTCTAGGGTTTAGGGTTTAGAGTTTAGGGGTTAAGGTTCCTGAAGCCCTAAACTTAGCACCTAAACTTCTCCTACTGAGGCTGTCAGCGAGTTCTACATCCTGGTCGCAGGGGCCACTTTGCCTCAAGGTTGAGGAGAGCCGAAGCATTGAAGCCAGAAGGCTCTAAAACTTCCCAAAGTTCCTAACACGTAGGGTTTAGGGTTTAGGGTTTAGGGTTTAGGGTTTAGGGTTTAGGGTTTAGGGTTTAGGGTTTAGGGTTTAGGGTTTAGAACATGGGAAGTCAAGATCAGGGTGGTGCAGTGGAGGGGCCGGGGGGGGCGGGGGGGGGGGGGGGGGTGAGTTTAGGGTTTGGGGTTCAGGGTTTAGGTTGTCTGGGCTGGGGTGCTGGGGGGTGGGGTTGGGTGGTGGGTGTAGGTCGGGTTTGGGGTCGTTGGGTACAGGTCGGGTTTGAGGTCCTTTTATCAATTACATAGGTTTTCAGACTGTATTTTTATTTGGTTTGATTACAGGCTGATGCTGTTTTCGTTTGGGAGCCCCTAAACCCTAAACCCTAAACCCTAAACCCTAAACCCTAAACCCTAAACCCTAAACCCTAAACCCTAAACCCCCTAAACCCTAAACCACTCAGGATGGTGTGGAGACGTTCCACAAAACCCCCGTTGAGCACATGAAGGAGACCCTCATCCGTGACCACGTGGCCGCTTGCCCTTCGAGTTGGGTTTAGGGTTTAGGGTTCAGGGTTTAGGGTTTTAGGTTTAGGGTTTAGGGTTTAGGGACGCAGGCCCACGTAGCGTGACTCCAAACCCGACTTAATTGGGCCATGGGTAGTTATGAGTACCCTAAACCCTAAACCCTAAACCCTAAACCCTAAACCCTAAACCCTAAACCCTAAACCCTAAACCCTAAACCCTAAACCCTAAACCCTGAAAGAGCCCAAACTTGGTAGCCCAGTGGTACCCATTGCCCTTTTTTGGCTGCAAGGTTCGCTGATCAAGTAACCAGCCCCCCAAAAAGGGTACCCTTATTGTAAGATGGTTACTGGGCTACCTAAACCCTAAACCCTAAGCACTGAGCCCTAAATCCTGAACCCTAAACCCTAAACCCTAAACCCCAAGCCCTAAACCCTAAACCCTAAACCCTAAAGTTCCCACGAGGTTGCCTACCTCCGCAGCCGCGACTCCGTCAGTGGGGCCCTCCCTCAGCGTGTGGAGGTGAAGAAATGAGAGGGCCTCCCTTTCAGGCCGAGGCAGCCTCGGCCTCCTAAACCCTAAACCCTAGACCCTAAACCCTAAACCCTAAACCCTAAACCCTAAACCCTAATCGTGCAAGAGGCCTTCGGTGGATCCTTTCTTTTGCTGGCTGTTAGAGTGGGCCTTCTCTCGGCCGGTTGGGCTGTGGAGGCAGCTTTTCCATGGAGGGCCAGGCCACCCATACGGCATAAACTCACGGACCATAGGCGGTTTCGCACAGGACATAGGGGGGTTTTAGGAGGCTGGGGGCTTAGAAGGGTTCAGTAGAATTAGAGTCTAAACCCTAAACCCCAAACCCAAAACCCAAAACCCTAAACCAGAAGGGTTTAGAGTTTGGGGTTTGGGTTTTTGGAGTTTGGGGTTTTGGGAGGTGTTCGTTGTTAGCTCTTTTTCATTAGACAGAATGGACCCTGCACTGCAAAAAAGGTTCGCATTTCGGTTCCACTCAAAGGTACCGTTTATGCAGTAGGCTTCCTGATAAACGGGACCCTAGTCCCTAGACCCTAGACCCTAGACCCTAAACCCTAGACCCTAAACCCTAAACCCTAAACCCTAAACCCAAACGTCCGAAGAAGCTGCCCAGCTCATGTTCAGTTTTGGAGGTGCCAAGAAGGCTTGGACGAGCTCGGAGTCAAGACCCTCAAGTCCTAAGCCCTAAATCCTAAACCCTAAACCCTAAACCCTAAACCCTAAACCCTAAACCCTAAATCCTAAACCCTAAACCCAACCCAGGTACGCCAACCCTAAACCCAAAAATTCTGAGCCTCAAAAGAGCCGGAAGCCCGGGGATCCTAAAGGTCTACAAGTCTGTTCAGAACTTCCCAGGGTCCGAGAGCAAGCCCCTAAACCCTAAACCCTAAACCCTAAACCCTAAACCCCAAACCCTACACTCTAAGGCTCTGAGGGCTCTTATTCTGGGGTTTTCGGGCCCAAAGGCCTTCGTATATAAGAATATTTGGGGCTACTTTGGGCCTAGGGGTACACTCTAAGGGTAGCTACATGGTCCCTTCATCTGGTTCCTTACCTCCTAACAAAGGGTTCTGAAGCATGTGGCCTTAGGTTGTATGGAGTCTATAAGGCAACTTACATGGGGCCCATGAGAAAGCACCATGCAACTACCCTATGGTACACCCCCTAAGCCCCTTTGGGGTTATGAAAGGGGCCTTATTTTGGGGAAAACTCCCATCTGAAGAGCAAAAAACCCTACATCATGTCACACTCACCTGTCCCAAGTACCCCATCCCCTAACCCCAAGCCCTGAACCCTGAACCCTAACCCTGACCCTATATATACACACTGGTTCCTGAAAGCCTCACAGATTCCAGCAGCACAGATGTCCAACGCCGCCAAGTTTCGCCTGAAGGCGGAGGCACTTCTTTGGTTAGGCCCCTGGGATATTCTATATTTATTCAGGGTTTAGGGTTTAGGGTTTAGGGTTTAGGGTTTAGGGTTTAGGGTTTAGGGTTTAGGGAGGATCATCTGTAGCATCGTCTTCCGAGGGTTTCAGGGGCCAACCTCTGCAGCTGGAGATTCCATGGGCTTTGAGGGCCCAAGGCCGAGCCAGCTCTGCAGACTCTTTCCGCGGCCTTATGGCCTGCGCTACCCGCGGGCGGAGAGTAGAAAACTTTGTCATGGTTGGGTTACATTTTACATTTTTGAGGGTACTTAAACCCAAGAAGAAAAAAAGAGCAACTTCTTGCTATTATCCCAACAATGAACAAGAGAAGCTGGCTTTGCGTGAAGCTTGTGCTTGTGGTGATTCTGAGAGAATAACACCCAACGAGTCTTCACGCTTAAAGTCCGAATAGGCGCACTTTAACTAGGACCCGGAGTAGGCCCTCTATTCCCCCTCTTTTGTGGGTTTCGGGTCTCACTTTTCAGCCCCTTCTGAGGCCAGAAAATGGTTTAGGGTTTAGGGTTTAGGGTTTAGGGTTTAGGGTTTAGGGTTTAGGGTTTCACTCTTGGTTCCAACCCCCCCAGAACTTGAGGAGGTTTAGGAGGTTTAGGAGGTTAGGAGGTTTTCAAAACTTAGGAGGTATAGGAGGTTTAGGAGGTTGAGGAGGTTTAGGAGGTTAGGAGGTTCTCAAAACTTAGGAGGTATAGGAGGTTTAGGAGGTTGAGGAGGTTTAGGAGGTTAGGAGGTTTTCAAAACTTAGGAGGTTAGAAAACTTAGGAGATTTAGAAAACTTAGGGGGTTTAGGAGGTTGAGGAGGTCGGAAAGCCTGCATCTGAACTGCCTTAAATAACCCCTGGAAGCCATAAATCCGTCAGCCAGTTGCCAGGTGGGTTTAGGGTTTAGGGTTTAGGGTTTAGGGTTTAGGGTTTAGGGTTCAGGGTTCAGGGTTAGGGTTTACATCAGCTGGGACCCAGAGTAGGGCCCCTTCTTCCCCCAGTTTTTCGGGCTTCCGTCCCCTCAAACCAGAGAGGGCACCGTTTGGATTCCTAGGCTACTCTTGGGTCTAGTTAGGTTCCCCTTGTTTGGGGGCCCTTTATCCTAAACCCTAAACCCTAAACACTAAACCCTAAACCCTAAACCCTAAACCCTAAACCCTAAGCCCTAAGCCCTTAACCCTTAACCCTAAACCCTAAACCCTAAACCCTAAACCCTAAACCCTAAACCCTAAGCCCTAACCCCCCCCCCCCCCCCCCAAAAAAAAAAAAAAAATCAAGGAACCCCAATGCACGTGCTGGGCACAATTTGCTGGCATGCCAGGTGGAGCTGAGACTCAAGTACGAGCAGGCCGGCTGGAGCCATAGGGTTTAGGGTTTAGGGTGTGGGTGTTAGGGTTTAGGCTAAAGGGTAGCCAGAAACCCTCAACCCTACACTCCAAGCGCGACATCATAGTCTCTGCTTCCATACCGTGGAGGCCCGCTCTGTTTCTTCAGGCACATGCATACACGCATGAGATCATGCCCCCGAAATGGGGGAACCTTCAACCCTAAGCCGTCGACCCTAAACCCTAAACCCTGAACCCCAAACCCTCAACCCTCAACCCTCAACCCTAAACCCTACACCCTACACCCTACATCAGAAGAGGCCGTGGAGACGCGAAACTTCACTGGTACCCAGCTCATCGACAGGCCGGTTGTGAAGATCGCTCTGGTAAAAGCTGCGCTTGAAGAGGGTTTAGGGTTTTGGGTTTAGGGTTTAGGGTTTGGGGTGTGAATAGGCGTTTCGGGGGGTTGAGGGGCTTTAGGGCTTTGACTGGGGCTCTTCATGAGGTCTTAGGGGTTTTGGAAAACCCTAAACCGTAAACCCTAAACCCTAAACCGTTTGAAACCCTAAACCCTAAACCCTAAACCCTAAACCCTAAACCCTAAACCCTAAACCCTAAACCCTAAACCCTAAACCCTAAACCCTATCAGGGTATTTAGGGCCTTTTGTTGCTGTAGGTGGCCTGGCTGGATTTTTGTGGGGTTTACAATTTGAGGGTCCAGGGCGTAAGGTTCAGAGTCTGTAGGGTTTAGGGTTCAGCCCCGTGCCAGAGTCCAAGACTTTTCTCAGGGTTTAGGGTTAGGGTTTAGGGTTTAGGGTTTAGGGTTTAGGGTTTAGGGTTTAGGGTTTAGGGTTTAGGGTTTAGGGTTTAGGGTTTAGGGTTTAGGGTTTAGGGTTTAGGGTTTAGGGTTTAGGTTTAGGGTCCTGCTGGCTTGACATATTCATAGCCGACCTTGCGAGTTATGAAGGCACCGAGCAAGTTGGCCGTTCTATGGACCCGGCGCGGGTCACTGTAGGAATCGTGGGTCGCGCTTCTACTAGGGGTTACTAGGGCTAGTTAGCTCTGGCCTGCCTAGTTTTCTTTCAACAGCTGATCTCTTTTAGGGTTTAGGGTTAGGGTTTAGGGTTTAGGGTTCAGGGTTCAGGGTTCAGGGTTCCTAAAGCCCAAACTGCGCAACCCTCAGTCCATCAAACCCCTCTACAGCCCTTACCAAAATCCAAAAACAAAACTGAAGCATCCCCCTAAAGACGTAAAAACAGAAAAAATGTAGCATCCATGCAACCCCTGACGCCCCCAAGCCCGTGAATCTTGGGGTAGATACATGGTCCCTGAGTATGGGCGCTGGGATCCACCCAAGGACCTTACCTCAGAACCCTTTAAAGGAAGTAAGGGACTATACTGAGGGCCCATCTGATCTAAATCCTAAACCCTAAACCCTAAACCCTAAACCCTAAACCCTAAACCCTAAACCCTAAGCCCTAAGCCCTAAACCCTAAACCCTAGACCCTAGACCCTAAACCCTAAACCCTAAACCCTTAGAGTGAATCCCTGGCTTTGCTTTGAGTCGACGACAGGAACGACGAGCTTTGCATCCTCTGGGAGAAAGCCAACATCCAGGAGCCGTCTTTGCGACAAATCTATGTAAGGTTTAGGGTTTTTTATCGGGTTTACAGGGTTGGCAGGTTTCTGCAGTTTCTAGGGTTTCTAGAATTTCTAGAATTTTTGGGTTCTAGGGGTTCTAGAATTTCGAGGGTTTCGAGGGTTTCCACTATAGTATCTGGGGTTTCTAGGGTTTCTAGGGTTTGACCGACCATGAACCGCGGAGCCTTAAGCCCCACGCGCCAATGCCCCGACCCTCACGACTGCGGTCCTTTCTTGAGTTTAGGGTTTAGGGTTTAGGGTATGGGCATTTCTCAAAATAGGGGTACCCCATTTATACCCCAAGTACCCCTCTAAGGGACCCCCAAAAAGGATACCCCTAATGTTGACTTCGCATTAATAAACCCCCCCCCCCCCTTCATTGATCAATCTCTCCGGCCAGGGCCTCCTCAATAGTATCCGCCTAAAAACTGGTAGGACGTAGTATTAGTTTTAGTATTAATAACATAACATCACCCGTAAAACCCGGATTTCCCGGGTCGGATTTTACAATTGTGGCGGGCTACACTATTGTGTTCCGGCAGCGGGATTTTACAATTGCGGGTGGATCCACTAATGTGAAGTCAACATTATTTATTTCGGTAACCCCAAGACATCTGGGGCCATGTATTTCTACAGAGAGGTCAATTTTCCGAGGCTAAGTGAGGGATCGTAGTTTCGAAATCTGAATTGATATACACCTGGCCAGCAGGCCTAAACCTTAAACCCCAAACCAATCCCTAAACCCTGTAGCCCTATACCCTAAACCCTGTAACCCTAAACCCTGTCACCCTAAACCCTAAACCTAAACCCGAACTACATGCCTGGACCAACCCGACGTCCGCTGCTCAAGCAGGAGAAGCTCCTAAAGAAGGGTGAGGCAGGCCTAGGGTTTAGGGTTTAGGGTTTAGGGGTTAGGGGTTAGGGGTTTAGGGCTTAGGGTTTAGGGTTAAGGGTCTAGGGTCTAGGGTCTAGGGTCTCGGTGGGGGGTTTTAGGGTTAGGGTTTTGGGTTTTGGGTTTTTGTGGGTCCATGTTTCGAATCAGGGTGTTTGCTACTTAAGGCTCGGCGTTCAGCGGCTTTAGGGTTCAGATGGTTTTTGGACTCGATGTTGTGTTTTTGTAGGGGTGGGGGGAGGGGGGGGGAGGGTTTAGAGTTTAGGGTTTAGGGTTTAGGGTTCAGGGTTCGGGTTTAGATTTGATGTTGGGTTGAGGGTTTAGGATTTGTACGGTCCGGGTCTTTTGTGGCGTTGGGATTTGGATCGTGGCTGGGGGGAACACATCGGGCAGTCAGCTGCAAAAGGGAAGCGAGCGCGGTGTTACTGAGGTTTGGAGTTGGGTTTTACTTGGAGGTTCATGGTACTTAGTAATCCAATTAGAATTGTACTTAGAACCCCATTATGGCTCATTAGGGCTTATGAGTGGGTTATACCTACACTTATCATTGGGCAGGGTTTAGGGTTTAGGGCTTAGGGTTTAGGGTTTCCGGGTGTCGGTTGGGGCTTGTAGGGTTTTCAGGGCGCCTCTGGAGCAAGCATTACACGCATTACAAGCATTTGTGTGTCCAGGAAACCCTAAACCCTAAACCCTAAACCCTAAACCCTAAACCCTAAACCCTAAACCCTAAACCCTAAACCCTAAACCCGCCCAGGATGCCATGCAGCGGAAGGAGGAGGAGATCCGGAGCCTGAAGATTGATCTCGGAGAGGCGCTGCTTTAGTGGGTTCAAGGTTTAGGGTTTAGGGTTTAGGTTTAGGGTTTAAGGTTTAGGGTTTAGGGTTTAGTAGGGTTTAGGCCTTAGGGTTTGTGTCTCAAGATTTTTTCGGGGTTGTCGTTTCAGGTTTAGGGTTTAGGGGGGGGGGGGGGGGGGTTGCCCTTCTACGGGGCTTTTGGGGGTCTTTCGGGCCTTTACCGTCGTTAGGTTCTTTAGGTTCTGGGGGTCCTGGGTTGTTTGTAAGCCTGGGCTTTCTGCGCTTGAGGGTTTTGAAGCCCTAAACCCTAAACCCTAAACCCCAAACCCCAAACCCTAAACCCGAAACCCGAAACCCTAAACCCTAAACCCTAAACCCTAAACCCTAAACCCTAATCCTTTCCGGCGCTTCGTTTTAAGATATTAGGTCTTCGAGGGTCCCTGACTTAGCACGTCGCTGGCCGGAACGCCCTGAACTTCCAGTCACCTCTCGCCCTCCTTAGGTTCCAGGGTTGAGGGTTAAGGGTTCAGGGTGTAGGGTTTAGGGTTTAGGGTTTAGGGTTTAGGCTTTAGGGTTTAGGGTTTAGGGTAAACCCTAAACCCTAAATCTTAAGCCAATAGATTTAGGGTTTGGGGTTTAGGACTTAGGGTTTAGGGTGTCCTGGGCAGTTCTCTGAACTGGGGTTTTCTGTTTGGGTCCCCTAGAATAGTGCGGCACCCTCAAGAGAAGGATCCCCAAAAGGGAGCCTAAGTTAGAGAAGTAGCCCTAAACCCTACACCCTACAGCCTACGCCCTACACCCCAAACCCTAAACCCTAAACCCTAAACCCTAAACCCTAAACCCTAAACCCTAAACCCTAAACCCTAAACCCTAAACCCTAAATCCTAAACCCTAAACCCTAAACCCTAAACCCTAAACCCTAAACCCTAAACCCTAAGCACCAGTGCAGGTTCAGAGGCAGCTGATCGTCGTGCGAGGCAAGATGCCCGAGGTCGGGAAGTGGGGAGTAATTCAGGGAAGTAGGTACCTACCCTAAACCCTGAACCCTAAACCCTGAACCCTGAACCCTGAACCCTGAACCCCAAACCCGAAACCCTAAACCCTGAACCCTAAACCCTAAACCCTGGACCGTTGAAGGGAAACACAGGAACCCCCCCCCCCCCATCATAAGGGGCACACCCAATTTAGGGTTCTAGGTTGAGGGTGGGATAGATCAGGTCAGTTGACAGTTTCCCATTTTGGCAGGCATCGCCTCGGCCTGTCGACAAGCCTGCTTCCTTGTTGAGCACTATTCAGCAAAGCCTGTTCGCTATTGAGCATTGCTTCACACTGGTGTCGGGCGGACTCTCGCGTGCGCCAGCTTTGTTTGACTGTATTTAATTCGGACGCTTGTGGGAACCTGATCAGCCAGGGCACCTTTACTTTCTTCCATGTATTTTCGGACACTGTCTGCTTCTGATTCTGTTTCTATGGGAACATGAACATGCGCCTGCCTTTTCAAAAGCGTCGTCGTAGAATTTCTGTTTCGGTGTCAGCTTGAGACGCAGAGCCCTTCTCTAAACCATCTTACAATTGAATCTGTCGGCGGGGTTGAGTTTTCTTTCGGTCGGGGGTTGGGGTTCATAGTTCAAGAATGTTCAGTAGTCAACGCATACCTAACGATCCCCAAGCAACCGTACAACCTGAACCCGAAAGACCTTAACCCTGAGCCCTGAACCCTAGTGTCCTGAAGCCGAAAATCCTGTAGCCGAAGCCCCACGTCCTAAGTCCCTCATCAAAACATCTCATGGTCGCTAAAATATGGCCCCTTTTGGTGTTACTCCAAAAAGGCCGTCCCTCTTATTGAGGGCACGAGCACCCAAAAAGGGATCCTTTGTTTTGGAACTGACGTTAAGGGTTGCTTCAAGGGTCCTTAAGGGGTTGCTTTAAGGTGCCCTTAAGGGTGGTGGCTCGAAGGTATCCTTAAGGGTTGCTTTAAGGGTCCTTAAGGGTTGCTTTGCTTTAGGGTTTAGGGTTTAGGGTTTAGGGTTTAGGGTTTAGGGTTTAGGGTTTAGGGTTTAGGGTTTAGGGTTTAGGGTTTAGGGTTTAGGGTTTAGGGTTTCGGGTTTGGGGTTTGGGGTTTAGGGTTTAGGGTTTAGGATTTAGGGTTTAGGGTTTAGGGTTTAGGGTTTAGGGTTGGTGCCTCTATGGGCCTGGGGCAGGTCGAGTCTCTGGCCGAGTCGGTCGCGCAGTTGCGTGAGCAGGCGCCACTTTGAAAAGTCCGAGCTCGGACTTCGAGGGTTTAGGGTTTAGGGTTTCGGGTTTAGGGTTTAGGGTTTAGGGTTTTGGGGGTTTCCGAAAACAGGAACTCCCTGGGTTTAGGGTTTTGGGTTTTTAGGGCTTAGGGAAGCCGGAAACCTTAGACTCCCTAGCCCTAACCCTAAACCCCGAGCAGCCCCAAACCAGCAGTGCAGTAGTTGCGAGCCCCTGTTTAGGGTTTAGGGTTTAGGGTTTAGGGTTTAGGGTTTAGGGTTTAGGGTTTAGGGTTTAGGGTTTAGGGTTTAGGGTTTAGGGTTTAGGGTTTAGGGTCTAGGGTTTAGGGTTTAGGGTTTAGGGTTTAGGGACTCAACTTCAGCAAAGAGGGATACAAAGTCCTTGGCCACCTTTGTAGGTTAACATGGTTTGCATCCGACTCGCCCTGGGGCTTCAGCAAAATGTAGACTTCATAAGTCACAGGGCTCAGTTTTAGAGTGATTCAGGCGAAGGCTTTAGCCGTTAAGCCTGCGCCTCACTTGCAAGCTGGGGGGCCTGTTTGATGATTTCAGCTCAAGAGCGGCACAGGTAGAGGCAGGGCAGGAATTCCGGGCATTTCGCATCCAGCACTCATGGCCCAAGTCGCATTCCCGGAGCCAGTGAAAGGTGAGACCAACCCCAACGTGGTGCTCGGTACGCCCGCAGACGACCAGGTCGCGACCGACGTCACTGGCATCGCCTTGGCACCGCAGGGCAAAGGAACTTGCAAGCGACGCTGCTGCTGGGCTACCGGCATCGTTCTGAGCCTCCTCGCGACTGTGGGCATCGGTATTCTCATCGGCTTCTTCATCTTCGCCAACGAGAACCTTGGGGACGAAATGAACCCTAAACGGGTTTGTGGCTCATATACCCTAAAAGTAGTTATAGTAGTATACCGGTAGGGTATATGACCTCAATTTTAGGGTTCGTTTGGTCCCCAAGGAACGAAGACCGAGAGGAGCTTGGCGCACGGCATGCGAAGGAGTATGCGCCGGAGATGGGCGGCTTCTTGACACTCTCCGTCGCGAACGCCACCCGCTTTCTTGCCCATCCTCAAGTTCGGAGCGCACTTTCCTCTGGCATCGCGAGCTTGCACAGCGAAGTGAGCGCCACGGACGTCGTCATCAACGAGCTCCTGCATGAGGAGAGCCGGGCGCAGGACCTCGACGATGCGGGGCGCCGCCTGCAGGGAGCGCCGGAGGAGCGGCAGATTCGCGTCCTCTACACGGTGCGGCGCGACAGCGTGGAGCAGGCGAAGGCTGTTCTGGAGGCGCTGCAGAAGGTCCCGGCGGACACAGTCACAAGCAAGCTGAGCGCAGCGGCGGTCTCTTTCGGAGTGGATCCCATCGAGGCAGTGGCGGAGCCAAGGTTCTGCATGGTCTTCGAGCACTCCCAAGACACCCAAGACACCCGCGACACGCACGGCAAGAACTTGCGGGGAGGTGGCCGAGATGACCAAGATGACCGAGATGACGACCGCCGGCTGCAGCCCAGGGACGGGAAAAGCGAAGACGAGGACGAGGACGGAGTCCATGGTGATGACCGCCTGGATTGCGACTGGGCTGAGAAGGACGACAAGGACGACAGGGACGACAAGGACGACAAGGACGACGACAAGGACGACGACAAGGACGAGGAGGAGGACGACGAGGAAGATGACGAGAAGCGCCTCTGAGCGCGTCCTGCGTCCTTCAGTGAAGCGCAGCAGAGCCTCCACTGTGTCCACGTACCTGCCCACCAGGATGGGCTATTTCTACCCTGTAACCCCTCAACAAGGCCCTTGTACGGGGTTGACTATGGGGGTTATAAGAAGGCGTAACAGCCCATCCTGGCACTTGTGTCAGCTTTTTTCATGTGCTGGGGCCAGGAGAGGGTCGGACGTGCATTCGTGTCAGGCCTAAACTAGTGGCACTTTGTTCTGTACCAGGTTGCTATACCACAAAAGAGCAACTACTTTCTGCCACCACCATCATGTTCGGCCCCACACCAGCCCTTGCTCGTTTATGTGCACGTGTTTCCATGTCAATGACGCTTTGCTCAAGAGCTTCAGGAGCGCGCTAATGTTGTTGTTGCAGCATCGACACCGACAGTTCACTCGAGTTGTGTAGGCTCCGAGCATTCCAAAGCCCTCTACCTTACATCGAGTTAAGGGTTTAGGGTTGGGGGTTCATCAAAACCCTAAACCCTAAACCCTAAACCCTAAACCCTAAACCCTAAACCCTAAACCCTAAACCCTAAACCTATACACCAGCAGCAAAGCCAGGGTGCGGACTCAAGCTGAGACCTTCGGTCCGTCCCAGAAAAAGATGTTTAGCCATTGTTTGGCCTTAGCAACGTGCGGGACATTCCTCGATGGAGAAAGCCCTACTAACCTCTGGAGCCGTGTAGGGTTCTTTCGTTTAGGGTCCCCTATGGGGCCTAGGGTTTCGAGGGTTTGGGTTTAGGGTTAGGGTTTAGGGTCTGCAGGGTTTAGGGTCTAGGGTCCATAGGGTTTAGGGTTGATAAGGTTTAGGGTCAAGGGTGTAGGGTCTCTATAGGGATCCCATACCACCCCTTTAACATCTGAGTAAGTGATGGAGGCCTTGAGTCTGGGAACGTCCCCGCCACGAAGAAAGCCTGCGCAGCCTTTCTGGGGCCGTAGCAAAGCCCCTGATTGACCTGGCGGGCGACGAGAAAAAGAGGCAAGCGTCTACATAAGCCAACTAAACCTAAACTCGAAAAGCCCTGAACCACATGAACGCCCCAAAACCCTTAAACACCCCATACTCAAACCCCATAAACACATACCCGAAACCCTGCGCCCCTCCCAACCCCCCCCCCCAAACTGAGTTCGCCAGTTTTCCTAATCCAAACCCGATGCCCTTATCAGTGAGAAGCCCCAACCCCGAGCCCCATTTGTGTTTTCGGCCACTCAGCTTCGGCACAGAGGTCGTAGGTTGACGTGAAGGTATCCTAATCGCATTGAAAATATCAATCTTGCAACTTGTAGGGGTGTCGGTTTAGAGTGACTCAGGCGAAGGCTTTAGGCCTCAAGCCGTTAATTTCTGCGCCTCACTTGCAAGGGGGGGCCTGTTTGATGATTTCAGCTCAAGAGCGGCACAGGTAGAGGCAGGGCAGGAATTCCGGGCAATTCGCATCCAGCACTCATGGCCCAGGTCGTCGCATTCCCGGAGCCAGTGAAAGGTGAGGCCAACCCCAACGTGGTGCTCGGTACGCCCGCAGACGACCAGGTCGCGACCGACGTCACTGGCATCGCCTTGGCACCGCAGGGCAAGGGAACTTGCAAGCGACGCTGCTGCTGGGCCACCGGCATCGTGCTGAGCCTCCTCGCGACTGTGGGCATCGGTATTCTCATCGGCTTCTTCATCTTCGGCAACGAGAACGAAGACCGAGAGGAGCTTGGCGCATGGCATGCGAAGGAGTACGCGCCGGAGATGGGCGGCTTCTTGACACTCTCCGTCGCGAACGCCACCCGCTTTCTTGCCCATCCTCAAGTTCGGAGCGCACTTTCCTCTGGCATCGCGAGCTTGCACAGCGAAGTGAGCGCCACGGACGTCGTCATCAACGAGCTCCTGCATGAGGAGAGCCGGGCGCAGGACCTCGACGATGCGGGGCGCCGCCTGCAAGGACCAGAGGAGCGGCACATTCGCGTCCTCTACACGGTGCGGCGCGACAGCGTGGAGCAGGCGAAGGCTGTTCTGGAGGCGCTGCAGAAGGTCCCGGCGGACACCGTCACGAGCAAGCTGAGCGCAGCGGCGGTCTCTTTCGGTGTGGATCCCATCGAGGCAGTGGCGGAGCCGAGGTTCTGCATGGTCTTCGAGCACACCCAAGACACCCGAGACACCCGTGACACGCATGGCAAGAACTTGCGGGGAGGTGGCCGAGATGACCGAGATGACCGAGATGACCGAGATGACGACCGCCGGCTGCAGCCCAGGGACGAGGACGACGAAGACGAGGAGGACGAAGTCTATGGTGATGAGCGCCTGGATTGCGACTGGGCTGAGAAGGACGACAAGGACGACAAGGACGACAAGGACGACAAGGACGACAAGGACGACAAGGACGAGGAGGACGACGACGAGGAGGACGACGAGGAAGATGACGAGAAGCGCCTCTGAGCGCGTCCCGCGTCCTTGCGTGAAGTGCAGCAGAGCCTCCACTGTGTCCACGTACCTGCCCACCAGGATGGGCTATTTCTACCCTGTAACCCCTCAACAAGGCCCTTGTACGGGGTTGAATATGGGGGTTATAAGAAGGCGTAACAGCCCATCCTGGCACTTGTGTCAGCTTTTTTCATGTGCTGGGGCCAGGAGAGGGTCGGACGTGCATTCGTGTCAGCCCCAAACTAGTGGCACTTTGTTTTTTACCAGGTTGCCATACCACAAGAGAAATATTACTTTCTGCCACACCATCATGTTCGGCCCCACACCAGCCTGATTTATCGTACTTGCTCGTTTATGTGCACGTGTTTCCATGTCAATGACGCTTTGCTCAAGAGCTTCAGGGGAGCGCGCTAATGCTGTTGTTGCAGCATCGACACCGACAGTTCACTCGAGTTGTGTAGGCTCCGAGCATTCCAAAGCCCTCTACCTTACATCGAGCTTAGGGTTCAGGATTTATAGTATATAGGGTTTATAGGGTTTATAGTATATAGGGTTTATAGAGTTTAACCTATACGCCAGAAGCAAAGCCAGGGTGCGGACTCAAGCTGAGACCTTCGGTCCGTCCCAGAAAAAGATGTTTAGCCATTGTTTGGCCTTAGCAACGCGCGGGACATTCCTCGATGGAAAGAGCCCTACTAACCTCTGGAGCTTTATAGGGTTCTTTCGTTTAGGGTCCCCTATTGGGGCTTAGGGTTTCGAGGGTCTGGGTTTAGGGTTAGGGTTTAGGGTCTGCAGGGTTTAGGGTCTAGGGTCCATAGGGTTTAGGGTTGATAAGATTTAGGATTAAGGGTGTAGGGTTTCTATAGGGATCCCATACCACCCCTTTAACATCTGAGTAAGTGATGGAGGCCTTGAGTCTGGGAACGTCCCCGCTACGAAGAAAGCCTGCGCAGCCTTTCTGGGGCCGTAGCAAAGCCCCTGATTGACCTGGCGGGCGACGAGAAAAAGAGGCGTCTTCGGGGCTCTCAGCCCTGAAAACCCTTAGAAGCCGTTTAAACACTAAACCTAACCCCCCCCCCCCCGCCCAAAAAAAAAGATAAAAAAACAATTATATATATATATATAAACTAAATAATGCAAACAAACCCATTAAAGCCTGATCATCAAACCCCCCATGAGCCCCATAACCGTAGAAATCCTGCACCCCTGCGCCTTTCATGGGCCCTTATTGTGGCTTGAAAAGAGTTCTGCAATTCGCATCGGGTATATCAGGGGTACCCTAAACCCTAAACCCTAAACCCTAAACCCTTTAAGGGCCCACATTGCGGGACCATGTAACTACCATAAGAGAACTGGGCTCCCCCAGTTTTGCGAGACCGGTGTCACCAGAGTCGAGGTAAGGTTAAGTTTAGGGTTTAGGGGTTATGTGGTTTAGGGTTTTAGGGTTTAGGGTTTAGGGTTTAGGGCTTAGGGTTTAGGGTTTACTGTAGGGCTTAGGGTTTAGGGTTCAGGGTTTATAAGCTTTAGGGCTTAGGGCTTAGGGTTCAGGGTTCAGGGTTAGGGTTTCCATCTATGGGCGGACCAGGCTGGCTCATGCGAATCTCTGCAAGAGATCCTAGATCTGTAAGTTTGGTGTTAAACAGGAACCCTACATCCCCCTTTATATGCCTTTTAAGGGATTATATAGGGTACCTCATTCCCTCATTCCCTACTAAGCAACAGTAAGCATGGTCGTTTCATAAGATATGGTCCCTTGTTGGGTAGCTTAATTTCTCAAGATTATGGTCCCTGTCTGGGTACGCAAAATATATCAGGGGCCGCCTGAGAATAGTAACCCCACTTGGCAGTAGGGAGTATATGAGACACCGAACAGGGAGAACATTGGATATGTACTTATGACACTTTGCTCCACACATAGGGTTTAGGGTTTAGGGTTTAGGGTTTAGGGTTTAGGGTTTAGGGTTTAGGGTTTAGGAATATATTTACTATTTACCCATGAGCCTCCCAGTGCCTACCACCCTGCAGGCAGAACATTGCCAACTCAGAGCAAACTCTGCACTCTGAGCCCTTTGGGATGTTCCCCTTATATACAAGCAGTCCTTAGTACTGATTAGACAATGGAGGGGGAGGTACTTCCGTTCAAATTTATGGACTGTCAGCATAAGGAGGAACATCCCAATTGAGCCCCCCAATTCAACCCGAGATCCTAAACTTTAAGCCAAAAGCTCGAAACCTCAACAGGTCGCGTCTGTGAGGAAGCACAGCGAGGAGATGTCTCGCGAGGCAGCGCCAGGACTTCTCCCCTAAACCTAAACTCCAAAACGAGGGTTTAGGGTTTAGGGTTTAGGGTTTAGGGTTTAGGGTTTAGGGTTTAGGGTTTAGGGTTTAGGGTTTAGGGGTGGTAGGGATTTTGGGATTTTGGGGTTTAGGGCTTAGAGCTCCCCACCAGCCCGAACGAAGGCCTAGCCAAGGTTTGTAAGGGCTTTGGGCCGCACTTCGGGTTGTACATCCTAAACCCTAAACCCTAACCCTAAACCCTAACCCTAAACCCTAAACCCTAAACCCTAAACCCATAAACCCTAAACCCTAAACCCCAAACCCTAAACCCTAAACCCCAAGCCCCAAACCCCAAACCCTAAACCCTAAACCCTAAACCCAACTCCTGACCGCCTGCAGCTCGAAAATCCGAAGAGCTCCCTCCGGAAGTGGCGGAAGCTGGGCGGGGAGGCGCCTCGCGTAGGGTTTAGGGTTTAGGGTTTAGGGCCGTTTAGGGTCTAGGGTCTAGGGTCTAGGGTCTAGGGTCTAGGGTCTAGGGTTTAGGGTTTAGGGTTTAGGGTTGAGGGTTTATTGAAAGTATTATGGGTTCAGGTCCGGGGAAGTTTCGAGGAAAGTTTCGAGGAGTTTCAAGGGTTTTTTCAGATTTTTCTTAATCATTTCAAGTTACAGGGGGCTTGAGGGTTTAGGGTTTAGGGTTTTAGGGTTTTAGGGTTTAGGGTTTAGGGTTTAGGGTTTAGGGTTTAGGGTTTGGGGAGCAAGTCTGAGGCCAGGGTTTCGGGTTTATGGTTTGAAGGGCTCTGACTCGGCCTGGCACCTATAAGGTTTCAGGGTTTTGGGGTTTATGGGGTCTCCAAGCTAGGGACAGCGGCTTCCCTTAATTTTTTCTGATAAGGGAGCCTGTCTTCAAACCTTGACAGGGCTGGAGGCACAATATTTTAACGCTCAACATGTTTCTAATCCCCCTGCTCGCAGTCCCGCGCTCCTTTGAACTTGCAAAGCCTCCCCAAAGAAGCTTCGCAAGAATCTCGCTGAACGCCAAACCCTAGACCCGAAACCCTAAACCCTAAACCCTATAAACCTGATAATGAACCGTGAACCCCCCTGAGTTAAGAACTTCGGCCTTTCCGAAGAGCCCACGTGAGAAAAGTTCAAGACCGAGCTCGAGGCTGGCGTATTAAGTAAGGGGCCCGGGCCTGGAACCCTAAACCCTTAGCCCTAAACCCTAAACCCTAAAACCTAAACCACCTTTAAACCCCAAACAAAACTTACCTAGCCAGTAGTTGAACTTTGAACTTTTGGTTTCCTTCTTGAGTAGGAGTGCTAAAGTTTATTGGAGAAGTGATAAAAACCCCGAGCTCTTAATCCCATCCTTGTTTTCAAGGTGAAGCACTCAACACCTTGTGTCCTTCCCCCTCGGCTGGCAGTCCTTCTGGGGATCTTGATACCGTGCTCTAGCTACAGCTTCTACTACTTTTTTGTGAGAACCTTTGACTGCACGGGGAAGTTACCCTAATCCCTCATCCCTAAACCCTTAACCCTAAACCCACTTGTCAGGACTTGGATCAAGAGACGCTTCGGGTGAAGATCCAGGACCTGCAGGCGAGGTCTCGGTCTCCCCCTGGCTTTAGGGGGCGGGTTAAGGCGTTCAGGGGTTGGGGGTTTAGGGTTAAGGGGTTTAGGGGTTTAGGGGTGTAGGGGTTTATAGGGGTTTAGGGGTTTACAGGGGTTTATAGGGGTTTATAGGGGTTTATAGGGGTTTATAGGGGTTTATGGGGGTTTTTAGGGGTGTTTAGGGGTTTAGGGGTTTAGGGTTGAGGGTTGAGGATCGCTTTGAGCCACGTCATGGCTTTCGCTTCTTCAAAGGCTGGGTTCTGCAGGGCTTCTGTGCGTTTGCTCACAGAGCCTTCCGGGTTAGGGTTTAGGGTTTAGGGTTTAGGGTTTAGGGTTTAGGGTTTAGGGTTTAGGGTTTAGGGTTTAGGGTGTAGGGTGTAGGGTGTAGGGTGTAGGGTGTAGGGTTTCGGGTTTAGGGTTTAGGGTTTAGGGTTCAAGCTCGTTGCTTGATGTGCCTTGAGCCTGGCGCCGCTTGGTGGGTTGATCAGGGAATTTAGGGTTTAGGGTTTAGGGTTTAGGGTTTAGGGTTTAGGGTTTAGGGTTTAGGGTTTAGGGTTTGCAAGGTTTCGGGCTTCGGGTTTTGCAATTTCCTTCTAGGCCCTCTTCTCACTTCAGTCCTCAAGATAGGATGGTAGGCTACCCCCCGGAGGGGGTGCCCCCAAGAATCTTCTCCAGGCCTGGGGATTCCTTTGTTTGGGTGGGGTCCCTTGCAACCCCCTTTAAACCAAAAGGGGCACCCTGTTTATTCCTATGTTACTCCCGGGTGTAGGCAGCCCTGTCCGGCAGGAGCGTCTCAATGACAAGAAAGAGGCACTCCTTGAGAAGGAGCTGATCCTGGAGGAGGTCCGAAACTCACCGGACCCGAAGCCCGCACTCCCGCCCTCCTATATCCGAAACCTAAACCCTAAACCCCAAACCCTAAACCCTAAACCCTAAACCCTAAACCCTAAACCCTAAACCCTAAACCCCAAAACGAACCCCCGCAAGCCTTTAGCCCCAAAAAGCCAAAACGGCAAGTCCTAAGCCCTAAACAGCAGCTCCGGGCTTCCATCGTGGATAAGTAGAGTCCTTAAGGGAGGGGGGTTTCATGAGGGGTTCATGGGGGGGGGTTTCGGTCTTCGGGGTTA